GTTGGATTGCTAAAATTGATGCTCTTATCTCATACTGAAAGCATTTGTTCTTTGAAAATCAACTCTATCAACTTGAACCTTAATCTGAATTTTTAATTATCATGGTTGTGCATTGAAAAGTGAATTCATGGCTACCATATACATATTTGGATCATCTTCTTCCTTCTTACCACTCTTGTTGATCCAAATAGCTTATCTACTCCCTTAACCAAACCTTCTTTTGAGCTTAAACACTATCTTGAGAGTTGTGAGTCCTTTGCATATCATTTTCGAATTTTGTCTTGGCAAGAAGTGTTAGGAATAAGGCTGACAATGAAAAACTCTCTTGTAGATATCAGCTTGCATTTTGAGCTTGATTCTAGGTTAGGATTTTGGGATAAAAGGGTAGAGCTAAGTGGTTTAGTTTTTATGTTTATATGCTTTAAAAGAAGAAGGAAAAGTTTGAAATGGTAGTATGGGGAAACAGTTAGCATTGTGGTTAAGTAAAGGGAAGAAAAAGCTATAAGTGTTCAAAGGAAGAAGGCACCAACAACAAAGCTTTGAAAGGGGTCAATCCAAAGAAGAAATCAGACCCAAGGCAATCCACCAAAGGTGAAAAATGGTGCCAATTCAACAAGAAGAAGCAAGTCCCAACAAAAAAGAAGCAGCCACACAAGCAAAAAGAAGAAGTTTCCCCAGCCATGAAGAAGGAGAAAAGGTAGAGTTTAGGAAAAGGGTATTCTTAGGGGTTCACATTTGAGGTTTAGAAGTTTATAGGATTCATCTTTGGGTAAAAGGTTAGAAGAGAGCTTTGATTTGCATGCATAAGTGTGCTTTTACCTTTAGCATTTTGCCTAAGATAGAACCTTTCATTGAGTGATCCCTTAAGTTTATAAACCTTGTGCTTGAATGAGATCATTCTAATCTCATAACCTTACCCTTTGAACCAAATGTCTTCACTTGATATGCACAAACTTGATTCATGGTTTTGAGCTAATTGAATGTTAAAGAGTTGATTGATTTGAGCATTTGTCTAAGTTGAGATTTGAGATCATTTTGAAACATGATGAGCATGGCTAGGTTCTTTAAAGTATAGCTGATTATGTTTGCATCCTACAACTAGACACTTAAGCATTGATTCCATCTCTTTACCTTTGCATTTTTGGATTTGAATGCCCACTTTTAAACCTCATCCTCCATTTGTCTTAGTTTGTTTGCTTGAGGACAAGCAAAAGGTAAGTGTGTGGGTGTTGATATCTCACACTTTTACATCATTTAGGCTTGCATTTAGTACATGTTTTAGTTCTCTTTTGCATGTTTTCCTTCTCTTTAGTCCTATTTTCTTCTCTTTTTAGACTTAGATTGCATTTAGGTTGTAGTATGCATTTTCTTTGCATCAAAGATGTTTTTTAGGTACTTAAGGAGCTGAATGGAGCAAGAAATAAGTGTGGGAATGATTTAAGAAGTTAGCCAAGCTGAAAAGGAGCAAAGGGAGCTAAGGAGGGCAATTTCTGGTGTTCCATCGATCAAAACTTCAAGGCCATCGATCAGATTTGATCGATGGGAATGCAACGAGTGCTCCGTCGATCAAGACTTGAAGTGCATCGATCAGATTTGATCGATGGGATTGCAACGGATGCACCATCGATCAGGTGTATCGATCAGATTTGATCAATGGGATTGCAATGGATGCACCATTGATCAAACCCATCAGCAATCTGATCGATACAGACCAGCCCGAACTTGATTTTCTGATCGATACAGAGCAGCCCGAACTTGCTTTTATTTACACTTTTGCCATTATGTTATGGCATTTGTCTTTTAGTATAAATAGTTTGTTCTAAGAATTTTTCAGGATCCAGTTTTTGTTCTTGCTTAGTTTTGAGGGTTTTCCATCTTTGTAAGAACAAGTTTATCATTTTAATCAAATTTTTGTATTTATCTTTTAATTTCTTCTCTAATCTGCTTCTTAATCATGTTTAGCATCTTTTCTCTTTGTGATTTGGTGTTAACCATGGTGATTAGTGAGTAGTTACCTTAGGATTCTTAGATGTGGTAGATTAAGGGAATTTAGAGGCTTGAATAGGGTTTGTTAGTGTTTAATATGATTGATTCCTCTCTATTGATCTGTTCTTAAGCTAGATTTGTCTTGATCACATGAATATGGATTTAGGCTTCATTTTATGCCCACCAAGTGTTTGATGAAATGCTGATCTTGGTTAATAGAGGATTTACTGGCACTAGCTCAAGAGATTGACTGTTTGAGGAGTATTTTGACTTGAATAGAGTTGGTTGTTCATGCTTGTTGATTGTTCTAGCACTAATGAGAGTTAGTTCTTGTTAGGATGATTAGCAAAGTGTTATCTGCCAAGAGATTGGATTTAACTTGCTTGATTGTGAACTCTATGTCTAGGAATCAACATTGACTACTTGTTTGCTTGATCAGTGATGTTTGTAACAACCCTAGATAGCCTTTGAATTTCCCAAAATCAATAACCACATCTAGGAACTTGTCTTCTCTTTATTTAAAATTCGAATTTTCCATTTACTCTGCTTTTATTGCTTTGTTTTGTTCATTGATCATTGCTAAATTGTTCTTTCTTGAGTTCTCTTTGGTATATGATCACTTAGGTTGTTAGTTTAAGTTGTGTAAGCAACAAATCTTCTCTGAATTCACCTGACTTAGAGTTTTCTACTTGCAATTCCTCTGTCATTCAACTCAACCCCTTTGGATTGATAAAAACCCAAATACTACAACTGATTAGTACAATGGGTGATTGACCAAGAGAGTCAAAACTCTTGTATCACTGATGGACTTAGTAACATAAGTTGCTAAATGGAAAATTGTTAAATGACTTATGAATAGTATTTGCGGGTGTTTGCATTGTGTGGGGGAAATCATTTGTGTGGGTTGGGATAAGCTGTAGGATTTTTAGACTGTTTTATATGTAAGATAGAGGATTCTCTTACGTTATGTCTCTTTTCTGGATATGGAAAGCGTGTGGCGCACCATAGTTCTATTATCGATGGCTTGGCGAGTCTTGCATCGCAAGGACAGACAGCGTGTATGCTGCTATATGCCACAAGGTGTGCGTTGGTAAAGGCGTGGATGCACCAATTAGGTCTAGGATATCATTTATTGATCTATGAGTGTCTTCGGACGTGATTGCATGTGTGTATTAGCTTAGGACTTTTGTCTAGAATGGTTATGCATGTGCGAGATGTATATTGTGGGTCTCTAGGACTTGCACGCATTGGGTAGTCCAATTACTCATCCCTCTTCCTCGCAGGTGAGCGCTCATACATTCACGAGTAGTCATTCAGCTTGGTGATGGTCTTGGAAAGACATAAGTTTTTTTTTATTATTTGTTATTTATTTTACATATGTTGTTACTTAAATTTGGATTTGATATCTAAGTTAAAAAATGGTATTTGTGATACAATCCTTGTGAATAAAGCAGCATTAAACTAGCAAGTGGTTTGTTATGGTGAAAGTTAAAGAGGTGGGTGATGCATCTTGTGTGGAAGTTCTGATAGATGTGGTGGTCATGAACCTTTTGCTTCTGCTTCTCAAGATGAGCTCTTTGGATTCTGATTCTTCCTCATTAACTCCTTCTCTTTTACAATATCATAGCTTTGAATCTGGTCCTTCTTCAAAATCTCCTTCTCCACATGAATTTAGCTTTTTCAGTTCTGCTCCTTCTCCAAAATCTCCTTCTCCTTCACAAGATCATAGCTTTGAGTTTGATCCTTTTTTCAGGATCTCCTTCTCTTTCACAGGATTTTAGCTCTTTTTGATTTCTGTTCTTTCTTCAAAAACTCTTTCTCCTTCATAAGATCATAGCTTAGAGTATCCTTCCTTAGAATCTCCTTCTCCTTGACAGGATTTTAGCTCTTTCATTTCTGCACCTTCTCCAAAATCGCCTTCTCCTTTACAAGATCATAGCTCTGAGCCTGCTCCTTCTTTAGAATCTCCCTCTCCTTCACCGGAATTTAGCTCTTTCGGTTTTGCTCCTTCTCCAAAATCTCCTTCTCCTTCGCAAGATTATAGCTTTGACTTTGATCCTTCTTCAGAATCAATTTTTTCTTCAAAGGAATTATAGCTCTTTCGATTTTTCTCTTTCTTTAAAATATTCTTCTTTTTCACTATATCATAGCTTTGAGTATGATTCTTCTTTAGAATCCCCTTCTTTTTCATGGGAGTTTAGTTCTTTCGATTCTGTTTCTTCAAATTTACAAGATCATAATTCTTTCGATTATGATATTTCTTCACCAATATCATCCAAAAAAATTACGTTTGAATGTTCTATTCATCATTACTTTAATTATGGTAAAAACCCAAGTAAATTATCACTTTTTTATTTTTTATTTTTTATATACATAGCATTTAATTAAGGATTAATGTATGTATATAATTTTTAAAAAAACTTTTTATATGTTGAAGAGTTTCAAATGTATGGTTTATAGTATGATTGGATTTAGTATTAAATTATTAATAATATATTATACAAGTTTTTGTTGTGGAGCTAAATTTATTATTTTTTGCTTAAGAAATTTAATTTTAAATCATCTTTTCAGATAAGAAAAATTGAATTTATCTTCCTCACTTAATAATTCAAATTACAGTGTGTATGATTATATTTTTACTTAATTATTTTATCCAATATATTCAAAGAATCAAAATTGTAATTTTTATATCTAACTACAGTTTTTTTTTTGTTTTTTCTTTTTAGAAACTTACCATAAAAACAGATGGTTTGAAACAGTTTTGACTCATGCGTCGGCAAATATTCGGAAATATGTATGTTGAAGAAAACAATTGATAACAAACACCAAATGAATACTTTGCTCCTAATATTTGTTTTTCTTGCTCGCTCGTAGCATAGATAATCGGATGTATCATCTGATCATGTTGTTTTGTATGACAGTATAAGATGTAATAAAATATAATAAACTATAAATTTATGGTATGTGTTTGATAGATTAGGTATTCGGTTCAGCTAGGTTTGGTTCCTATGATATTTGGGTAATTCGGTTATAATTAAGGATTCATATAGGAATCAAATAAGAGATTCTGAAGCAAGGATACAAATTTTGTTGGTACATGCAAAAAAAAAAAAAAAAATCCTTCTAGAGCTACAAAGACTTTGCAGATGTTTTGTCTCAATACAAGCTGAATCCAAAGAACTGGCTAACAATAATTGCCAATCCCAGTCCAATGGCCACAAGAGAAGACGCCCACGTTAGCTTCTCTGTGATCCTAGGAACCTTCTCCTTCAACGCCTCGCTACATGACCCTATAAACACCGTGTAGCTTCCCATCGCAATCACCGTCCCGACCAAGAACATGATCAGAAACGCAGCTCCGGCTACCCGAGAAGGAAGAGCGAGCGCAGGCAACACCATCATCAGAGCATCAGGTTGCAGCCCATGAACGATCCCGGTCGCGAATGTCGCGAACCCTATCTTCTTCTTCTTCGAGCTTTTCTCCCCATCTGTTGTCTCACCATTCTCCAAGGCAACCACACACGGCTCCGGGATTTCGGAAGCTTCCTTGATCCCCATAGCGCCAATCACGAGGAGCGTCAAGCCGACGACTCTCGTACCCCAAGTTCTTATGACTTCGATGTGAAGTCTGTCCTTTAGAAGGAGAAATGCTAGACCAAAGATGAGTTGACCAGCGTCGTGGCCACATCCCCAGAGTGCTCCAACCGCAGCACTCTCCATTCTCGTCCGTCCGATCGAGAGAGGAGCCAAAGCAGCGAGGTGGTCGGGTCCAGACAGAGTGTGTAAGCAACCAGCAAAGAAACCAGTCCAGGCACTGGTCAGTATCTCGGTACGGAGGAGTTTTCCGCCAACAGCAGCGCCGCTGGATTTAGCTGCGGCTTGAAAGCTAGCGAAAGCAGGTGGAGCAAGTATCGGGTTAAGTAAGAGCAGAGATACAGCAGAGACTAGTATGATTGTTCCAGCCGATATGGTCTGCAAGAAAACACAGATTTTGCGTAAGGCAGTGAACAATCTGAAGGTAAGTGTAAGCAAACAACATTAACATTAAACAAAGGATTTGCGCATCGACCTCATCATAGAGTTACAGAACCAAAACGAAACTAGAATTCTGAAATGAAGGTTGAAGCCCTCTTATGTAGATTGAATTAACACTTTGACAAAGATCCATCAGTAAAGTGTATGCAATCTGCGATCTCTGATCATAGAGATTTACGAATTTATCTAAAACTCCATAACAATGCAGCTACAATATTGCAGAATAGAGCAATTTCAGAACCTAACAAAGCAAACGAATGTCGAATACTGATCACGAAACCCTACACTAGTACTAGTACTCAATCACATGGTTCTCGAAACAATTGAATCCTATTAAAGATTGATGTCATCTTCCCAGAAAACACCAAACCACAGCCTAATATTTAACAAACTATCGCGAATGTGATTTTACCTTTCGCTGCTCAAAATTCCCCTTCACGATCCGTTCGAGAAATCCTGGATTAGGTTTCGACGAATCGGCTTCAGGAGACGAAGGAGACTCGGACAAGAAATTGCTAGTCTGATTTAGTCCTGGAGAAGTATTCGGCGGAGGATTGTGGCGGAAGAGGCAAGAAACGGAGCTGACTCGGCGAGACAAGGATCGGCGCGAGGAGGGAAAGCTAAAACTGGGCGATTCGAGACGGTGGACACGGAGGAGCAACGGAGATGCCCTCGGTTGGGATTTTGAGGGAGAAACTGTGCGAAAAGACGGAGGTTGTAGAAGCCTTTCCATGGCGTCTCCTTTGCTAAGTTCTCTCAGTAGTGGAAATGAAGAGAGAAGAGGGAGACAGACTGATGCTGGTGCGGATAAAACTTTTTTAAAAGTTATTTTGTTGCTTCCTTTGTTAATAAATAAAATAAATTAACAGGAAAATATCGAAAATCTAAATAAACAATAATCTAAATAAATATGACACCCAAAAACAAACTAAGTAAATTAATTTCGACTATAATGGTATACTACTATGTTGACCAAAAAAAAAAAAAGATTGTATTTTGAAAACTACACCATTGTTCATTTTTTTAAAACTAAACTTATTTTTTAACAAAATGTCTAAACTAATCTAATTAAAAATTGATAATACCTTTAATATTTAATTAAAATATAAATAAATATATAAAATAAATATAAGAATGAAGACATATGATTTTGGAATTTTATTAATATTTTAATTAAAAATATAAATAAATATATAAAAAAATAAAAAAAAAATAAAAACATATGATTTTGGAATTTGAATCATCATTGCAATTCATATATAATTTGATTTGGTCTTTTGCTAAATTATATATAGATCCTAACTCTTAGAAACATTATCATGGACCAAAATAGTTTTAGTTAAAAACATCTAAATAATACACTAATAAACTTATTTTTGTTAGAGATGAATTTTAAAATATTTAATTTGATAATTTCGAATTTTAATTGTCTCAAATAAATTAATATTATAATTAATAATTTCGAATTTTAATTTCCTTAAATAAATTAATATTAATAATTTCGAATTTTAATTTATTAAAATATATAATATCTCTTTTAAGCCAGGTAAAGAAAAAATTATTTGTTTTTATATAATATAAATAAGTGTTATTCTTAAAATTTTAAATAACAGTGTATTTTTCAAATTTAAAAACTTAAATAAGACATTTTGCCAATTCTCCCAAAAAAAAAATGGTATACTACTACTAGCTCAATCTGTTAAATAGTTTTTTTTTTATAAAAAGAAATTCTACTTATTGTAGTTGTAATTATTGAACTATACAGTAGGTTTCCAGTTGCTAAGAGGTCAATTTCTTTTGTTTTTTTTTTCATTTTACTAATGAGTTATTATTTTTCATAAAAAATTAGGTTTGTGATGCATAATAAACACCATTATATAGAAATAAATTGATAAAAATATAATAATTTCATGGCAAGCAAAAGAATCATAGAAGTGTTTTTCTAGAAATGTATAAATACTTAGTAGATTCTTATGATTTTTGTGTTTAGACAATTTTGTTAAACTTGTTTATTTCCGGAAGAAAATTAGTTTGTGTGTTACAAAAACAAGACTATTAGTTTGGGTATTTCAACGACAACAAAAATCAACATATCCACAAAAAGAAATTAAATCCTGTTGTAAACTTATGCTTTATAAAGAAAAGCAAAGAAGAATTTAAGATTTTTTGAACTCCGGAGAGAAAGAGAGAAATATGAATATAAGAATTTTATTTTTTTCTTCTTCTGAACTTATGATTTTACAAAGAATGAAGTTACCTATTTATAGGAAAAACCTTACTTCATAGTGAAGTAAAGTAATCTATAAAGACAAAACATATAGATAAGCATTATCCAAAACATATGGATAAGAATTATCTAAAACTTATGGATAAATATTATCCTTTAATATGATAATGTATAAAGACAAAAGCATTGGATAATCATATTCATTTATAACACTCCCCCTTGATTATCCATTTTTCTGTATTATGTACTGCCTCGTTAAAACCCTTATCATGGAAAAACCCGTTTGGGATAAAAACCATGATGAGGAAAAAAGAGTGCAGTAGCGCTCCCCCTCGAAATGGCGCATGAGTATCTATCGCTGTGGAGTTGCGTGCTGCCTTGTTAAAAACTTTTCCATGGAAAAACCCAATGGGATAAAAATCATGATAAAGGGAAAAAGAGTACAGCAAAAACAAACTCCCCCTGGAAAAGATGGATCTCATCCTCTCTTCACAAATCTCGTAGATGCCGCATTCCAATACTATGAACATGTTTCTTGAATGATGTAGTAGAAAGCGCTTTTGTAAAGAGATCAGCTGCGTTGTCACTTGAACGAACATACTGAATATCTACTTTCTTTTTCTTCTCGAGCTCTTGAGTATATGAGAAAAATCTTGGAGGGATATGCTTTGTTCTATCGCTCTTGATATAACCTTCCTTAATTTGAGCGACACAAGCAGCATTGTCTTCAAACACTTTTGTTGGTTCTTTGTCTGTGATCATTCCGCTTGCTTCTTGTATGTGATGAGCTATCGATCGAAGCCATACACATTCTCTGCATGCTTCATGAAGCGTAATAATCTCTGCATAGTTTGAAGAAGTCGCAGCTAAAGTTTGCTTTTGAGATCGCCAAGAGATCGCAGTTCCACCAAATGTGAAAACATATCCAGTTTGCGATCGAGCTTTATGTGGATCAGATAAATATCCTGCATCTGCAAAACCAACTAGACCAACCTCGGGGTTTCTAGAATAATATAATCCAAATTCAATCGAACCTTGAAGATAACGTAATATATGCTTTATTCCATTCCAATGCCGGCGCGTCGGTGATGAATTATACCTTGCAAGTAAGTTAGTAGCAAATGCTATATCTGGTCTAGTAAAATTTGCAAGATACATAAGGGCACTCATAGTGCTTATATAAGGCACTTCAGGACCTGATATTTCTTCGTTACCTTCACAAGATCGAAATAGATCTTTGTCAACGTCAAGTGGTCTATTGACCATTGGAGTACTCAAAGGAGTCGCTTTATCCATACTAAAGCGTTTCAACACCCTTCTGGTGTAATTTGATTGATGCACAAATATTCCATCTTGGAAATGCTCTATCTGGAGCCCTAGACAAAATTTTATCTTTCCAAGATCTTTCATTTCGAACTCATCTTTCATATGAGCTCTAGCATCATCAATCTCCTTTTGAGTTCCAATCATGTTCAGGTCATCAACATATACAGCAATGATCACAAATCCTGATGCGGATTTCTTAATGAACACACAAGGGCATATCGCATTGTTGACGTAACCTTTACTCAACAAATACTCACTTAAGCGATTATACCACATGCGTCCGGATTGCTTTAATCCGTAAAGTGATCGTTGTAGTTTGACCGAACATAGCTTTTTAGATGCTTTAGGCATCTTTGATCCTTGAGGGATCTTAAATCCTTCATGGATTTTCATGTATATGTCACTCTCAAGTGAACCATATAGGTATTCAGTCACAACATCCATCAAGTACATCTATAAATTATTAGAGGCCGCTAGGCTCATTAAGTACCTGAATGTGATTGCATCCATGACCGGGGAATATGTCTCTTCATAATCTATTCCCGGTCTTTGAGAAAATCCTTGTGCCACAAGGCGAGCTTTATACCTTGTGACCTCATTTTCTCATTTCTCTTTCTTACAAAGATCCATTTGTATCCGACCGGTATTACATCTTCAGGTGTAATAATTATCGGTCCGAATACGTTCCGTTTATTAAGGGAGAATATCTCATCCCTCATGGCAACTTGCCATTTATCCCAGTCAGGCCTTCTTTGGCACTCTGACACGGAACTTGGATCTTGATCATAATTTTCATGATCGATCTCTTTGGAAACAGAAAAAAAGAACATTCCATCATTATCTTCTATTTCACTTCTAGCCCATAATTTTCCACTTTGGGCGAAGGAGATGGAAATCTCATATCTTTCTGCTCCAGATTCGTCTTCAGGACAAATCTCATTACCTAGTTCTTCAGGAACTGGTTCGGATATGTCTTCCGGACATATACCTTCATTTGGTTCTTCAGGAACCTTTTCACAAATGTCTTCAGGACATTTGGCTTTATTTGGTTCTTCCAGAACCTTTGCTTCCAATTTCTTTCTTTTTCGGGGATTTTTATCTTTTGATTATACTGGCCTCCCGCGCTTTAACTGAACCGGTTCATTTTCTCTATTTACATCAATATGTTCTTCAGGAACATTTATCTTTGATGGAGCGTTAGCAGCGGGGATATAGGACTTTGTCACCCTTCTTGTATCAGTGAATGCATCAGGTAACTGGTTTGCCAATCTTTGTATATGTATAATTTTCTGAACTTCCACCTCGCGTTGATTTGTAGGAGGATCAAGATAAGCCAAAGTTTTTGTACACCATGTGATATCATTTGGTGATTCTCTCAATCCTCCCCCTAACGCAGGGAATTCACTTTCATCAAAGTGGCTATCGGCAAACCGTGCCATGAACATATCACCAGTTACCGGCTCAAGATACCTAATTATACTTGGTGACGAATACCCGATATATATTTCCAATCTTCTTTGTGGTCCCATTTTTGTTCTTTGAGGTGGCGCTATAGGAACATAGACCGCACACCCAAACACACGAAGATGGGATACATCTGGCTTCTGGCCAAATGCTAACTGTATGGAGGAATATTCATTATACGCACTTGGTCTTACCTGGACCAATGCCCCAGCATGCAATATAGCATGTCCCCATACAGTGATTGGAAGCATTGTTCTCAAGATTAACGGTCTTGCAATTAATTGCAACCGCTTTATCAATGACTCAGCCATGCCATTTTGTGTATGAACATGCGGAACCGGATGTTCAACATCGATTCCCAAAGACATACAATAGTCATTAAAGGCCGCTGAAGTGAATTCACCAGTGTTTTCAAGCCTGACTTTCTTTATGGCATAATCAGGGAAATGCGCTCTCAACATGATTATTTGGGCAATGAATCTTGCGAAAACCATATTTCTTGTGGTCAAAAGACACACATGTGACCATCTACTAGATGCGTCAATCAATACCATGAAATATCTAAATGGCCCGCACGGTGGGTTAATCGGCCCACATATATCACCATGTATTCTCTCTAGGAATACAGGGGATTCATTCCCAACTTTGGCTGGCGAGGGCCTACATATGAGTTTTCCTTGAGAACATGCCTTACATGAAAACTCCCCCGATTGAAAAATCTTCTGGTTTTTCAATGGGTGGCCACTCGAATTCTGCACAATCCTTCTCATCATGACTGAACCAGGATGGCCTAACCTTTCATGCCATACTCTAAAAGTGCTGGTAAACTTTTGATTTACCGCAACATGTGATTCAGCCATGGTTATCTTTGTGCAATATAATCCGGAGGACATCATTGGTAACACTTCCAACTGATGTTTACTCTCCGTTGTAATGCAAAGATATTCAGAGCCATTTTTATTAATAGTCTCAATATGATATCCATTTCTGCGGATATCTCGAAAACTTAATAAGTTCCGTTGAGACTCGGGGGAGTATAATGCATCTTGCACTACAAACTCTGTACCCCTTGGCAATGAAAAATTGCTCTTCCGGAGCCTAGTATAATCTTTGCAATACCAGTTATAGTACTCACGCTTCCAGCGGAGACTTTCATTTTGAGACAGGAGAAATACTTTTTATCCCTAAGGATTGTATGTGTCGTAGCACTGTCTGCTAGACAAGTATCTCCATCCATAATCTCAAATTCTGATATTTTCTGAATTTAAAATATTCATAAAATATGCATTAATAAGTATTAAACACATACCTGGCAATACCGCTTATGGTACAATAGAACCTACAGCAAAAGCATATAATACATCAAAACCATTAAGCTTTTGTCTTTCAACGTCCCAACCATCATCCTTTTCTTTCATTAAATTTGTCCATCACACTTACTCTAAGTGGATTACTCAACATTCTCCCCTAGGAATGGAGTCAATTTACTTGGACAAAACTGATGGTTTCTCATCACGAGTTTATTATATTATTAAGTTACCAGGAGGATTTATATCAACTCCGAGCTTTGGGTGAATTCTCTCGCCTGGAGATTCAACCACTTATTTCTCAAGATCTTCAGGATCTTTACTCGTGATGGATTTATCATTTAAACCATCATGGATATGGTGGCGTAAAAAGATTATGATATTTGCCTTATTTCATCGAATATCGTTTCTGATATATCGATAGTGCTCAAGAGATCATTTCACTCTAGATGCAACTTTGCACCTATCGCCCAAGACATATTATTTTTTCCACACAAGTCAAGGGTGGCGATCTCGAGCTTTGACAAATTATTACTCAATAACAAAAGCTTAATTTATCAGATTAAAAATTTGAGCATAGTAACGGCATAATAAAAGACAATAATTAAAAGCAATATGAGGAGGCAAAGCCTACCATACAATTGCTGATTGCATAATAAATAAATGAACAAAGATGGGGATTTTAATCTCCCACATAATAAATAAATAAATATGATCTGAGGCGACATAGTCTGCCATGTGATCATTTTTGATTGTGGAGGCAGAGCCTGCCATAACAATCAGCTCGGAGGAGATATAGCCTACCATCCCAGTATAATAAATAAATAATATAATTATTTGATTGTGGAGGCAGTGCCTACCATAACGATCACCTCGGAGGAGACATAGCCTACCATCCCGGCATGATATAATTATTTGATCGTGGAGGCAGCGCCTACCATAACGATCAGCTCGGAGGAGGCAGAGCCTTCCATCCCGGCATAACATATTAACGGAAAAAGCAGAGCCTATCTTTCCGTAAATCATAATATTCAAAATAAATTGAACATAAATGAATCTTACCTCTCTGGTATAGATCTAACTCCCAGATATAGATCAAGAGACGTTCGTGCTGATAACGTGTTGTAAACTTATGCTTTATAAAGAAAAGTAAAGAAGAGTTTAAGATCTTTTGAACTCCAGAGAGAAAAAAAGAAAGATGAACATAAGAACTTCATTTCTTTTTACTTCTGAACTTATGATTTTACAAAGAATGAAATTATTTATTTATAAATAGGAAAAATCTTATTTCATAATGAAGTAAAATAATCTATAAAAACAAAATATATAGAATTTATGGATAAATATTATTTTTTAATATAATAATATATAAAAACAAAAGCATGGATAATCATATCCATTTTATAACAAATCCACATTTGTGTAAAAAACAAAAATTATTTCATAAAGTATGCAATCCTTCCATCATAAAAATAGATCGTCATTTTCATCTTTGCTTCTCCTTTTCCTTTTCCTATCTCTCTGCAAAAGTTTCGTCTTTCTTCCTCTCATCACCTACCAAACTTTTTTCTTCATTTTTCTTATTTCCTTTTCTATACCGTTTTCGTGATTTTTTTTTTTTGTATTTGATCAATTTAATCGCCAACCCTCTCAAGAAACAGAAAAAAATCACAGTAAGTATTTGTGTCATTTTAAAATTTTGATCTGTAAACGAACGATTTCGAGCATTAACTTCCTAGAGAAGGCCGAATTCGCTTAGAAAAAGTTTCAGATTTTCTTCAATTGCAGCAAAATCAAGTAATGTGAAACGTATAACCGTCGATCCGTAACAGTCTTGCTCTTGATTTCAGATTTCATTTAGGGTTTATGTTTCCATCGATTCTTAGAAAAAACATCGTAGCTATTGTTTGGGATGAAGTTAAGTCAATGAACATTGTTGAGAGTCAAATAGATTTAATCATGCGAGTGATCATTAGCTTCAAATGGAATGAGATAAGAGATAGATCAGGAAATAGAACAATCTCGTAATTACGGTTTTTAAGCTAAGATTGAGAGCTTTAGGTATGAATTGTTTTGCAAATTGTTAAAAATAAGAGATACTTTCATCAGAACAGTATATGTATGTTGAACAATTATAAGCTAATGTTTATGTTTTGTTTTTCGTGCTCACAGATTATAGCATCAAAAATTAACAAAACCTGTTTAAGTAGGCATGTCGGAGAACAATGACTGTAAGCTTCAACATGTTGTTCTTATGGAACATTTGTTCTCATATGTTTTTTCACTCGTTCTTGTGTATGAATCACAGTGACAGGCAAAGTCATTGTAATAATGGGCGTAAGCGGAGCAGGAAAATCGTAAGTTTCTCTTGTTTAAAAACGTTAACTTTGTACTAAGATAGAGAGCTTGAGAAAGAGTGATTGATCTTTATATATTTCACTTTGTTAGCACCATAGGTAAGATGTTGGGGAATGCTCTATCTTGTGATTTTCTTGATGCTGATGATTTTCACTCTCTATCAAACAGAGGTAACAAAAAAGTCAACGATTTTTAAGTTTAACATTGGTTGAAAAGTTCAAGATTCTAACACTTGCTCTCATGGTAAACGCCAGATAAAATGCGCCAAGGCATTGCTCTTTCAGATGAAGACCGTATGCCATGGCTCGAGAAAATACAGGAGAGTTTACGAAAACGTTTGCTCAATGGAGAAACAGTTGTTCTCGCGTGTTCTTCATTGAGAAAACAGTACAGAGAGATCTTGAGAGGCGCTGATCCTGGTTACAAACGGGGAAGCTGTTCGAGTTGCAAGGTGAAGTTTGTGTTGTTGGAAGGTAACGCAGAAGTGATCACTGCTCGGTTAAAGAAGAGAGCTTCTGAGGGAGAACATTTCATGCCTCTCACTCTTCTCCAGTCTCAGTTTGATCTGCTTCAAGCCGATGATGCCTGTGAAAAGATTTTCAAGATCAGTGTGGTTTTAAGCCCTGAAGTTATAGTTAACTCAATTCTTGAATTGGTTACAGATTCTTTGAGCCCTTGAGAGAAGATTTATGCAATTCTCAGAACATTGTATTATTACTATTCATCTTCTTTGTATTCAAGATTTACTATGCAATTAGCAAAACTTACTTTTCCTGAGTATTTAAGTTTCGATTGAACAACAATACTTTTAGAAAGAATAATGGTAAGTTATGAACTGTTTATTTTAAATAATGATGACCGGATCAGTTCTAATCCAACAAATATCTACCAACTGTTGCATTCTTATGTCATAAAAAAGAAGAAAAACACAATAAACTTAGAGCATAAGAAGATTTCTATGTCAATTAGTTGTAATATAGGATATGGTTTAGTATTAAAAAAGCAAAATGGCTATTTGGAACTTGGAAGACATGATCATTACAATAAGTATATTGCAAATTTGCATTATAACAAAATTAATTAAGCTTAGTGTTTGCACTAATTAAGGCATTGCGTTTGTTGGTGCATGAGTGGTGCCATCCTTATAAGCTCTTGTTTTCCATTGCTCTACTATTTTGCAAACTGTTGAAAATAAGAGATACTTTAATCAGGACAGCAGTATATATATAGTTGAGAAATTGCTCATTTAATTTCTGAAGTATTTGTAATTGGCAAATTTATTCTCTAACTATCATGTGTGTAGATTAAATCTTCAACTTAGCATTGACTTCGCAAATTTATGCATGAGAAAAGTCAACGTTAATGAAGAAACGGAAACGTTAGCATTAACTTCTCTCGGTCTAATTTTGCAAAGTCAACATAAACTAGAGGAGTAAATTTGCCAAATTAAAAATTGAGGAATTAATCTATATAATTAGGAAAACTTGGAGAATTAAATAATCATTTTCTATTTATAAAATTATGATTATTTTCATGAATCATAATTATTTGTAGAATAGCATCAAATACTTTTTTTATTATATTATGTTTTCTAATAATCATAAATCATAATTATTTATAGAATAGTATCAAATACTTTTTAAATTTTTTTTTTTATTATATTATGTTTTCTATCTAAAATTTTATTGATATTTAATCAAAATGACAAAATCAGTATATATAACTTTCGAAAAACAAATAACTTAAGCAGATATATTTGTCTTTAAAATTCTCTTTTCAAACTTTTACTAATTTGAGTAAAGATCAACTTCAAGACATATATTTTGGATAATTTTGGGAAAATTCAGAAAATTTTGAGAAAATTAAGAAATATATATATATATATATATATTTGAACAGGTAATTAAGGTATATGATCTTATACCTTTTTTCCCGTACCTGTTTTAATAAAACAAAAAGTCTCGATTGATAGGAGAATAATCATCAGTTGCTAACCAAATACTATCATATACTTAGAAAGATAGGTAAAACCAAGTGAATTTGAGTAACCATACCAATGACCGTATGATAGGAGAATAATCATCGGTTGATAACTAACAAAATTGCCAGTAAAGAAAAAAATCACCAGAATTAAATACACGTAATTTTATTCATAAGAATAGAAAACATAATATAATAAAATCAATATTTTTAAAATAAATTTAATGGTATTCTACAAATAATCATGATTTATGAAAATAATCATAATTTTCTAAATAAAAATAATCATTTAATTCTTCAAGTTTTTGTCATTGTGCATATCAATTCCTCAACTTTCAATTTGCCAAATTAATTCCTCGAGTTTATGTTGATTTTGCAAAATTGGACTGAGATATAAAGTCAACGGTAACGTTTCCGTTTTCTTCTTTAACGTTGACATTTTTCATGCCTAAATTTACGAAATCAACGTTAAGTTGAGGATTTAATCTGCACACATGATAGTTGAAGAATAAATTTGCCAATTACAAATACTTCAGGAATTAAATGAGCAATTTCCCATATATAGTAGTTCTATGTTGAACAAAATTATAAGCTAATGGATATGTTTTGTTTTTCTTGCTAACAGATTAATATCATCAAAAATCAACAAAACCTGTTTAAGAAGGCATGTCGACGAACAATAATGACGGTAAGCTTCAACATGTTGTGTTTATGGAACATTTGTTCTCGTCTGTTCTTCACTCATTCTTGTGTATCATAGTGACAGGCAATGTTATTGTAATTATGGGCGTAATCGGAGCAGGAAAATCGTAAGTTTTTTCTTTTTATAAATCTTAATGTTGCCTCTGTTTTTCATTTAGTAATGGTTCTCTCAATTGATAATGAGTTGTAGGCATCCAACCAGGTACAGTATATACTGTCTCAATGCTTCACAAAATAACCTAAAATATTCATTCGTCAATTGCGTTGAATGCAATATTTGACAGGTAGACCCATCAAGCACAATATTGATGTCAGAATATATCAACCCTTGCTTATTCTGTTTTATCGGATGATTTTGGGGTTTTATCTAACATGTTGGTGAAATATCTGACCTGAGTTTTAAAAATAAGAAAGTGTGTCTTAAAAATGTCAAACTTGAAGGAGACACATTTGTTAAGAAAGAAAAGTTGGAGATAAATGTGGAGAAGTTGGAGTTTATTAAAAAAATGGATGGTTGAAATAACGCGCAAGTTCGATATAATTGTTTTTTTTTACTTTTTCTGTTTCAACATTATTTTAGATCGTACTACTTTGTTGTTGTTTCTTGTTTCAAAGATTATTATGAGATCATCTTAGTTGTAATAAAGTTATTCTTAAGTGGCAGTTAAGTTTCTCTTAAGTGGTAATCTTCAGTTGGTTTCACAATAGTTATCCATGTTGAATTGTTATTGTAGATATGTAATCACCTTCGAATTGTTAAGTTTCTCTTAAGTGGTAATCTACAGAATAACTTGCGTATTTGTCTTTATTTATCTAAGTATTTATCTTTAGTTATCTAAGTAATTCATTCTAAATATATAAACATCTTCAATTTTTAGTCAAACATTGTACATCTCTATAGGTAATGACTCGGACAATATACGTGAAACTCAGTTCGTAAAGAAAAAACATGGACTGAGTTCAATTTATGTAAGTTTTATTCATTGTACTTTCGTTGTGCTATTATGAAATTCATATAACAATATCACGAGGAGTTTATCATACTAACATATTATTGTTCTTTATTAGCAATCGAAGACAATTTTTTCTGGACTAACTACAACGCAAAGAAGTGGTACTGGAGATTTCATAGGACAAAACAATCTTCTTCTTAAAGACTTTTCACATATTGCATCAAGTTCATCATCATTATCCAAAGTGAATAGATCAACCATTGTTGATTTTTATCAGGAAAATCAAATTGAACTTGAATCTGATGATGAATGTTTTACCGGTCTAGTGAGTTTGAGTCTGAAAGTATCTTGCAAAGTTTTTTCATCTTCACTATATATATAGTTTAATTTATTATCTACTATCAGATGATGAACAAAATGAAAACGAATTTGACTGTAGCAGTGATGATAGTTCTGATGGGGGATCAACTATACCAGATATCATCAGAGAAGAACTGTCATATACAAGAGAACAAAATAAGAAAGTTAAAGAAGTTGTTTCCCCTTTTTCGTAATACGAGCAGATATCCCAAAATTTCAAACAATAATATTATTGGAGAGATTCTTATTTCAAACTTAATTTAGGACGTTTTAACTATATAAATACTATATTGTACCACTAAACCAATTATATGTTTCAAAAAGTTTACGATAATGAAGGTGATCCTACTTATGAGTGTCAACACTGTGGGACTATTATGTGGTATGGTGAACGTATAAACAAGATTAGAGGTTGTCGAAATCCTACATTTACTCTATGTTGTTTGCAAGGACAAGTGAAGTTGCTATTTCTAAAAAAGCCTCTGGAAATATTGAAGAAGTAATTTACAGACAATGGTAAACTGAGTAAATGTTTTCAAAAGAATATAAGGGCAACCAACATGGTTTTTTGTTTACTTGTGTTGGTGGAAAGGTTGATCGATCTATTCAGAAAGCTCGTCGACTGAAAATGTTGGTAATGCAAGGTGATACTTACCATCTTATGGGAAGTTTAAAACCTCTAGATGAGAAAATCCCAGCTTTTTCACAGCTTTACATTGTTGACACATAGAATGAAGTTGAAAACAGATCCAATGTTTTAAGGTATAATTATTATAAAGTTATCTTTTTATCTTAGAATTATGATGGTAATTTTACATTAAACTGTGTTTTAATGTCTGATATCGTCAACTATTTTGATTTAACAGGAGCAGCACTAATATAGGAAATGTGGGAAAGAAGAAGGATCCTTTGAAGAAGGATCCTTTGAAGAAGGAACTTATTGATCTGCTGATCAAAATGCTAGATGAAGTAAATATTTATGTTTGTAAATTCCGGTTGACTAAAGAGAGATTTGACACAAATCCTGATGAGACGTTTCATATGAGAATAATTAGTGATCCTCCTTCAGATGGTCGGACTTATAATGTTCCAACATCATCTGAAGTTGCAGCATTAACCCTAGTAGATTTTCAGTTAGGAATGGATAAGCATGATATTGTTCTTTAATACCAATGTGAAGGACTGAAAGGATTTCTGAGATTCACGTGAGTTATCTTGCACTTCAATATCCATTAATATTCTTAAGGATGGTTATAGGCTTGGTATTAAGAAAAGAACACGAAATCAGCCAAAGTCCAAAAGAACAACCAAAGTTTTATGAGGCAATTTTTTTGCATTTCGACTACATGAAAAGAAGAATGTGTGTCATACTCTACTCTATTCTAGGCGTTTGTTTCAGCAGATTATGGTAGATGCATATACTATGGTCGAATCTAATAATTTACGTTATTTAATATGCAATCAGTCCTCATTACGATCTGATAGTTATCACTCCATCAAGCAGCCCGAAAATGCTGGAATCATTGATTTGGATCAATAAGGAAAATAATTCACGCTACCAGCAACTTTCACAGGTGGACCACAATATATGAAAAATAACTATCTTGATGCAATAGTAATATGTAGGCATTTTGGATACCCAGATTTATTCATCACCTTTACTTGTGAACAAAAATAGTATCATTTATAGAACTTACTTGGAGTTTGATAAATCCTCCAAACTTTCCCACGAAATCTTTAGTCAAGACTCTTGAATAGTCATCCTCTCAACGAATTACAGATGATGAACCAAGATACTAAGGAATGACAGAGTGTAGTGGATGGTCTGAACGAAAATCTATCGGAGATCTAAAAAATATTTTGGTTTCTCAATCGTTTCCAACATAACTTCTTTTAGGAAAATGAAGAGATTGAACGGAGAGATACTTGATTGGTTTATTATAAAGATTGAGCCAAGAGATATTAAATAAGTGGTCCAAAAAAATGTATTACATATAAAACCCCATTAGAAGAGGCAGTAAATATTTGTCTCGGCCCAACAAAGAAAAAAAAATAATTTTTAAGAATAAGTTCCAATAATTATTTTACTAATCTAATTTAATATTTCTAAAAATATATTTCTAAAGTACAAATAAAATTATTTTAGTGAGTTGTAATGATATATATAAATAATAAATAATTATTTTCATTTTTAACATTAAATTTTACATGAGTTAGTTATAAAATTAATTTTTATTTAAAATCATTTTAATCCATTATATATGATAATTTATATTACATAATTTGAATATTTATAAGATCCACTTGAAAGATAATATGTCTTGCATAAAAATCCACAAATCATATTTGATCCAGTCATATAACCAAATAATGAGTACAAAATAATTTCTTCTTATAACATAATATAAACAATAAACTCATTCATACTTTATATAATTTTTTTGAAAAATAATATATCTGTGAAAAAATCATAAAATCATTTATAAATCCAATTTTATAACTTAATAGTCTTCAGTACTTTCTTATATATTATGGATATATGATAAATCCTCTATAGGTTTAAATTAATTGCATACTTATGTATTTCACTTCAAAAAATATATTCTAAAATCTAGTGTTGCTTTATAATTGGATCAAATTTTTTTATAGATTAAAAAAATTATTAAATTAAATTACACTTATGTGAAATATTAGTAATATATTACATGAGAGCAATACATATGCTCTTACAAAACGGTTTACTGTTTTAAAAAAAGGAATGTTAGACCGTCAATTTATTTTTACTAGGGTATTTTTATATTGGTCGCACTTCTCCTTGTTGCCGCATTAGAAATCTCAGAGTTCTTCGTCTTGGTTTAGAAAGAACTAAAAAAACTAATTCATACTTTATATAATTTTTTTGAAAAATAATATATCTGTGAAAAAATCATAAAATCATTTATGAATCCAATTTTATAACTTAATAGTCTTCATTATACAGTAAAACTTTCTTATATATTATAGATATATAATAAACCTTCTATATGTTTAAATTAACTTGCATACTTATGTATTTCACTTCAAAAAAATATATTCCAAAATCTATGTTGCTTTATAATTGGTTCAAATTTTTTTTATAGATTAAAAATTAATTATTAAATTAAATTATGCTTATGTGAAATATTAGTACAAAATAATTTCTTCTTATAACATAATATAAACAATAAACTCATTCATACTTTATATAATTTTTTTGAAAAATAATATATCTGTGAAAAAATCCTAAAATCATTTATGAATCCAATTTTATAACTCAATAGTCTTCAGTATACAGTAAAACTTTCTTATATATTATAGATATATATAATAAACCCTCTATATGTTTAAATTAATTTGCATTATGTATTTCACTTCAAAAAAAATATATTCCAAAATCTAGTGTTGCTTTATAATTGGTTCAAATTTTTTTATAGATTAAAAATTAATTATTAAATTAAATTACACTCATTCAACACGTGTTTTGTTTTTTGTTTGTAAGGCTCAATCGAGTATTATATTTGTAAGGCCCAATCGAATATTATGTTTGTAAGGCCCAATCGAGTTGTACGCTGCTGTCCTTAATGGGCTTAATATTATCAGATGACGACAAAAAAAAAGCTCGTAAAAAATACAAAACGGTTTACCGTTAAAAAAAAGGAAATGTTTGACATTACTAGGGTATTTTATTACTAGGGTTGCCGCATTAGAAATCGAGTTCTTCTTCTTCTTCGTCTTGGTTTAGAGAGAAAAAAAAACTGTGAGATTTTTTAAACTTTTCTGATTCGAAAGTATTTGTTAGGGTTCGAAAGCATTTTGTTAGGGTTAAGAATGATTATTCCAAAATCTAGTGTTGCTTTATACTTGGTTCAAAATTTTTTATAGATTAAAAATTAATTATTAAATTAAATTATACTTTTTTTGGTCAAAAAATTAAATTATACTTATGTGAAATACATGAGAGCAATAAATATGCTTAGAAATGGAAATGTTGACCGTAAGAAATATAAAACGGTTTGACTTTATTGACCGTTAAAAAAAAAAAGGAAATGTTGACCGTCAATATATTTTTACTAGGGTATTTTATTGATCACCCTTCCCACTTGTTGCCGCATTAGAAATCTCAGAGTTCTTCTTCTTCGTCTTGGTTTAGAAAGAAACAAAAAACTGAGAGATTTTTAAAACTTTTCTTCGAAAGCTTAAGAATGATTATTCCAAAGGGAGTGCCTTCTTTCTACCTCAGAGTATACAACATTGTCGATGATCCTTCCTTGGATCGAATCATCTCCTGGAGCGAAACGAACAACAGTTTCATCGTTTGGGATGAGAAAGCTCTTTGCAGAGAGGTTCTCCGGAAATACTCATTGGGCAGAAACTTGGCTCAATTCATCTCGGAGCTTCGCGACCGCGGCTTTGAAAGAGTCGCTGGGTCTGCGCAACTGGAGTTTGGGAATGCTAATTTCCTCAGAGGCCAGCCTCATCTCCTTGAGAAGATGGTCTTACAAAGGATGGCCAAACTCGGCGCCAATCTTGAAGCGAAGATCTCTTTGCAATTGGAGATTGCTATTGCCAACTCAAGGCAAGATCGAGTCAATGTAGAGAAGCTCTTTCAAGGTTTACGACTCTGATCCATTAATCTGCGGTTCTGCAAGATATTGAATTACTCTTACATGTTTTGATTTTGTTTGGTTTTGATTCCCTCTCTACACTTCCATTAATCTGCGGTTCTGCAAGATAGTGAATTTCTCTTACTTGTTGCTGATTTGATGGCTTTTGTTGCATCTGCAAAGTCTCCATGAGAAGAGAATCTCTCCAACTTCATAGATTCCTTCGGAAGTCGGTGTCTTTCTGTGCTTAGATCAATTGGCATTTTTTTTGTAACCTCTAATTGTTTTAGTCTTGTTTGATCGAGATTATGTCTATATATAATTGTTTTAGTTTTGTTTGATCTAGATTCTGTCTATATACAGTATTAATTCTATTGTCTTAATGATAATATCTCTTACTTTTACTAGTTTGCAAACCCAAAGATACCAAATTTGCTACAAATCACAACCAGTTGCTCTAATGCCTCAATACTTTTTACAAGAAAATATGTCCTCAAGATATCTTTTTGTTTATCTTCTTGAATTTAGCTCAGAGAGCAGAAAAAGGGAGGGATTGCAATTAAATTGAGTGCTCATCGTTGTAGGTTATATTGATTGCAATTAAATTTCTTTTTATATAATGATAGGTCTTGTTTCCTCTCTCTGCTTCCGTGGAGTTGAATTCACTCAGGTGAAGATGTTTTGAACCTATTATCTACTGATGATTCTGGAGCCACTTCTTCTTCTTCGTCAACAGTTGCATCTTCTGAGTATAAGCTAAGAGCAACAGTACGTGTATTCCCTTGCATTATTTGGTGAAGCTAAGATTGGTTTTTATATACAGAATGTACATTGCTACTCAAGTCGAATACTTTCTCTGTTAAAGGGCATGAGAATTTGTTGCTTCTTTGTCATAGGTGCTCACTGAGCTATTTTTCTTACTTGTAATAGGTTGCTGTTTTGATGGCTTTTGTTGGGTGTGGATTCCATTAGTTTAGCGAGCTCTACAGGGGTTGCAGACTCAACGATGCGCTTAGTGGAAATAAGCAAAATGGGTCTGTCAAGAAAACAAGACAAGGTGTCTTTGGCTTCTGCTTCATCCAAGAGATGGGTCAGGTTAGTGTTCCTCAGGTTAGTGTTCCTCTTATGACTAGTCTGAGTCTCCTTATCAATTTGTCGCAGTTGCTTTGATTCCCATCTTGTGTCGAGCACTTGAACCAAGTTCTTGAGGCGTAACTTCGCTCGCTCCACCATATACAGGTAGTTTGCATCCACCTGATCAGCAAGTTTGATTTTAGTACTCGTTTTCATTTTTGGATTCTTACTGATGCGTAACTCTTTCCCTGTGTCCTGTTCTGTAATGGTTATCAGAAAGTACTTGGAAGATCCTTGTGTGTGGGTGGTGTCAAACACAACTACCATCAACATTCATTGCAGGCTGAGATAGCCATTGGCTTCCTTCTGTTTATCTCTCTGCTCTCGTACGCTCTTTCTTCCTTTTAGAAGCGATAATAGTTTATTGGCACTAAATTTCTTAGAACAGACCATATTTGAATATTAAGAATGCTCTGGTTAGAACTGCATTTACACGTTTGCACTCATCTGATCAAAACTGCCATTTTACTTACTGCAGATGGCAACGCAACATTATACAGGCATTCATGTATTGGCAGGTACGTCTATTCAAATGTTTTTCTTGCTTTACTTTTGGTTCCAGTCATCTTTTCTCTCTATTGGCTCAACAACTTCAAGTAGAATTCTTCGTTGAAACTTGATCAACTGAATATCTGATTATAGGAGGAACCACCATTTTTTTTTTTTTTTAATGGTAGGAACCACCATATTTAATCAAACACTTTTCTCCCTTTGTTGATGCTCTTTGTCTTTGAGACTAAGTGTTACATGCGCTAAGAGCATTAGGTAAGTAATCAGAAGCGCGTTTTGCTCCTTTGGTTGAAAATCAGGTGTGTTGTGTCATGAGGAACCATCAAGTTTAAAACCCTTTTCATAATTCTCTCCATGAGCAAAAGATAAATGTAGTTTCCAGAATTTTTGGTTGGATCTTCAGAGTTGTCCCCATGAATAAGGAAAAGCCTGAGTTTTGTTTTTCTTGTTGGCAGCTATTGAAGCTGATGTATCAAGCACCAGTAACAGCAGGTTACCACCAGAGCACATGGAGCAGAATCGGGAGGACGGTTTAATCCGATGATCCAACGTTACGCTCCCTTCTTGAATACTCCGATGTCTGCCGTTCGGAGATGGTGGTTCAGGTGAAAAACAAACAAGATGATTGCTGTTTAATCCTTAGGTGTTTTAGCCGCTGTACGCGGTGTGGTATACAGGTTCTATTGTTGAATACAGTTTTTGAGAAAAAAACGTAGTCCTGTCTACTCTACTTAGTTCTGAGTTTGGGTAGTTTTGTGGGCTACGGAATATTGTATAAGCTTGTTCCTCTAACTGTGGTTTAATTCTTCTTTAGGTTAAATATGAGGATGGGTATGAAGAGCATATGGTTCTTAATCGTGGAATGATCAAATTTTGAGGATGATAAAACATTGAACCTGCGGGATATAGATGATGAAACTCACAATGACTCCGAGATGAGGGTAAGCATTTCCTCCATGTGCTTTTGTGACTTACAAACAGTAATTGTAGCTTCACTGCATTTTAATATGATTGAGCAGAGTTTATCATAGGTGCTCACTGAGATATTTTTCTTGCTTGTAATATGTTGCTGAGTTGATGGCTTTTGTTGCATCTGCAATGTCTCCATGAGAAGAGAATCTCTCGAACTTCATAGATTCCTTCGGAAGTCAGTGTCTTTCTGTGCTTAGATCAATTGGTAAACCGAGTACCACTGTGTTGATCCTTGTAAGTTCTTGCTGCGATTGGTCTCTGATATTTCAGACTTGACTTGAAGTTTAGCTTCTTGGGTTCGTGTTGCTTGATTGCAGGATTTACCCAGTGATGTTTGTTTTTCCATCGATTCTTATAAAAACATCATAGCTATTGTTTGAGATGAAGTTAAGTCAGTGAACATTGTTGAGAGTCAAATAGGTTTAATCATGCGAGTGATCATTAGATTCAAATGGAGTGAGATGTATAACTCAGTCCCGTAATTACGGTTTTTAAGCCAAGATTGAGAGCTTTAGGTATTGTTTTGCAAATTGTTGAAAATAAGGGATACTTCAATCAGGACAGTATATATATAGATCTATATTGAACAACTATAAGTTATCTTTCTCACAGATTATATCATCAAAAATCAACAAACCTGTTTAAGTAGTCATGTGGGAGAACAATGACTGTAAGCTTCAACATGTTGTTCTTATGGAACATTTGTTCTCATATGTTTTTTCACTCATTCTTGTGTATGAATCACAGTGACAGGCAAAGCCATTGTAATTATGGGCGTAAGCGGAGCAGGAAAATCGTAAGTTTCTCTTTTTTTAAAACGCTAACTTTGTACTAAGATAGAGAGCTTGAGAAAGAGTGATTGATCTTTATATATTTCACTTTGTTAATACCATAGGTAAGATGTTGGGGAATGCTCTATCTTGTGACTTTCTTGATGCTGATAATTTTCACTCTCTATCAAACAGAGGTAACAAAAAATCAACGATTCAAAGTTTAACATAGGTTGAGAAGTTCAAGATTTTAACACTTGCTCTTATGGTAAACACCAGATAAAATGCGCCAAGGCATTGCTCTTTCGGATGAAGACCGTATGCCATGGCTTAGAAAAAATACATGAGAGTTTGCGAAAACGTTTGCTCAATGGAGAAACCGTTGTTCTCGCGTGTTCTTCATTGAGAAAACAGTACAGAGAGATCTTGAGAGGCTCTGATCCTGATTACAAACCGGGAAGCTGCTCGAGTTGCAAGGTGAAGTTTGTGTTATTAGAAGGTAACGCAGAGGTCGGTTAAAGAAGAGAGCTTCAGAGGGAGAACATTTCATGCCTCTCACTCTTCTCCAGTCTCAGTTTGATCTGCTTCAAGCCGATGATGCCTGTGAAAAGATATTCAAGATCAGTGTGGTTTTAAGCCCTGAAGTTATAGTTAACTCAATTCTTGAAATGGTTACAGATTCTTTGAGCCCTCGAGAGAAGATTTATGAATTTCTCAGCACATTGTATTATTACTATTCATCTTTGTATTCGAGATTCACTATGCAATAAGCAAAACTTATTTTTCCGAGTATTTAAGTTTTGATTGAACAACTTTCAGATTCTTCAGTCAGAGGCTGATTCAACAATAATTTTAAAAAGAATAATGGTCAGTTATGGAGTGTTTATTTTAAATAATGATGACCGGATCAGTTATAATCCAACAAACATCTACCAACTGTTGCATTCTTATGTCATAAAAAGAGAAGAAGAAGACATCAACCTTAGAGCATAAGAAGATTTCTATGTCAATTAGTTGTAATAAACAAATATAGGATATGGTTTAATATTAAAAAAAGCAAAATGGCTATCTGGAACTTGGAAGACATGATCATTACAATAAGTACCCATATTGCAATATAACAAGATTAATTAAGCTTAGTGTGTGCACTAAGGCATTGCGTTTGTTGGTGCATGAGTGGTGCCATCCTTATAAACTCTTGTTTCCAATTTTTCAACTATTTTAATAGATTCATTATATTCATTTTACTGTTTAAATCGGGAAGTTTTTTCTTGCGTTGACAAAAAGAAGATGACTTTTGTTGAAATCAAATTAAATGGATTTTTACCAATTATCTTCTTAAATTTTTATTTTTGATTTTACATATACATTCCTGAAATGCACACATCTCAAAATTGCTTAAAATAGAAATAATTTAGTCAAAATGAAGGGAATTAACTTGCTCATGGAAACATTGTATATATTTCAATTATTCAGCCAAAGGTAGAGAAAGCAAGCACAACCGATTCAATAAATAATTTTTAAAAACTATAATGATTAGTTATGGAGTATTTACTTGAATAATGAAGACCAGATCAATTCTACTCTAACAAACATGTACCAACCTGTTGCATTATCATATAATTATATATTGGTCAAACATGTACCAAATGTTACATTCTTATGTCATCAAATTGAAGACCTTTTATATCCATTTTTCTCACATTTTTTGTATATGGTTGCTCGACAACTCACAAAGTCCGTGTGTAGTATATTATACATTTTCATTTAACAAATCCAAGCAGTCATTAGCCGTCAAAAGAAATAATTATTTGGTTTATTTAATTTCCGCCATCGTCTCTTTCTTCTTCCTTCTCTGATCTTCTCGGAAAATTCAAAGAAACAATCCAATCCAGAATTTTCCCCGGAGAATTTCATTTCCATCATTCATGGCTGTTACCCTCGAAGTTTCTCCAGCGAGAAAACGCCGTCTGTTCGGATCTCTAGAGTCTCCAAAGGTGTCAGATGCGAAATTAACTCGGTCACTGTTCCTCGCGTGTCAGGAGATTTCTCTCATGCAGCCTCTCCGTTTCATCCTGAGACGGAACTCTCTCTCAATCATACGCAAGGTGAAGATATTAGCGGCGGTTTTCGATGAGCTTCTCCGATCAGAGATGGTTTACTCGCAATCCGCTCAGCTCTGCTTCGAGGAACTGCAAATCGTGATGCAGCGTATGAAGGCTTTGATTGAGGATTGCTCAAGGGCAAGCAAACTCTGGCTACTCTTGCAGATCGAAAACATTTCCTTCAGTTTTCACGAGCTCGTCACCGATTTATCCACCGTTCTCGATATTCTACCGGTCAAGGACTTTCGTCTCAGCGACGACGCCGAAGATCTCATCATTCTCCTCAGAAAACAATGCTCCGGTTCTGTTCAGTTCATCGATCCACGCGACGATGCTCTCCGTCGGAAAGTGACGGATACAATCGATGGAATCAAGCACCAGATCTCCCCAAATGAATCGAGGCTCATCGAGATTTTCAGCGACCTGGGTTTTCACGATTCCGCTAGCTTGACGGACGAAATCCAGAGATTGGAGGATGAAACTCATGATCAGATCGACGAGAGATCCAAATCCTCAGCCGCATCTCTCATCGGACTCGTGCGTTACACAAACTGCGTTCTGTACGGCCCCTCGACGCCATCACCTAGTCCTGATTTCCGCCGCCACAAGTCGTTATCAGACGCAAACATCCCGGCGGATTTCCGGTGTCCGATCACACTGGAGCTTATGAGGGACCCGGTGGTGGTTTCCACCGGCCAGACGTACGATCGTGAGTCGATCGATCTCTGGATCCAATCAGGTCACAGCACTTGCCCCAAAACAGGCCAGGTCCTCAAGTACACCAACCTCATACCTAACCGTGCCTTGAAGAATCTGATCGTGATGTGGTGCCGTGATCAGAAGATACCGTTTGAGATATACGAAGACGGCGGCGGCGTAGGGTCTCATGCTCCGTGCAAGGAGGCGGTGGAGTTTACTAGGATGTTGGTTTCGTTCCTGATCGATAAGCTCTCCGTGGCTGAGTCGAACGATGTCGTCTTCGAGCTCCGCGCTCTCGCCAAATCAGACTCGGTGGCCCGAGCCTGCATAGCCGAGGCTGGAGCCATACCGAAGCTGGTTCGCTATCTAGGCTCGGACTCCTCGAGCCTTCAGATAAACGCCGTGACGACGATCCTCAACCTCTCAATCTTGGAACAGAACAAAGCGAGGATCATGGAAACAGACGGAGCTTTAAACGGCGTTATCGAGGTTCTGCGTTCGGGCGCCACGTGGGAGGCTAAGGCAAACGCCGCCGCGACTTTGTTTAGTTTGGCTGGCGTCTCAGCTTACAAAAGAAGACTCGGGAGAAAAACACGTGTCGTAAGCGGATTGGTTGACCTGGCGAAACAGGGCCCTACGAGCTCGAAAAGAGACGCGCTCGTGGCGATCCTGAACCTGGCTTCGGAGAGGGAGAACGTAGGAAGGTTCATCGAAGCTGGAGTAGTGGAGGCGGCCAGAGATGCATTCCGAGAGCTGCCGGAGGAGGCGGTGGCGGTTGTGGAGTCGGTCGTGAGGAGAGGAGGTCTCATGGCGGTGTCCGCGGCGTTTGGTTCGATACGGCTATTGGGAGAGATGATGAGGGAAGGGGCGGATACGACGAGGGAGAGCGCGGCGGCGACGCTGGTAACGATGTGCCGGAAAGGAGGGTCAGAGCTAGTGGCGGAAATGGCGGCGATTCCAGGGATAGAAAGGGTTATATGGGAGATGATTGGGACGGGAACGGCGAGGGGAGGAAGGAAAGCGGCGTCGTTGATGAGGTATTTAAGGCGATGGGCCGCCGGAGATACCCAAGAGACGGTGGTGGAGACGCAGAGCATCGTTGTGCCAACGCCAAATAGGTTATTTAATCCCGTTTTATAATTTTTTATTTTCTTTTTTCCCCTTCTTCATATTTTTTCCCTGTAAAGTGTAAAGTGTTTTCTTTTTTTTTACTTACGATTTTAAAAAGAAATTGATTCTTTTACTGTAACTGTAAATGTAATTCGAGAAAAATAAACAAAAAAATCTACTCTTCTTGTTTTTCCGGATCTAAAAATGTAAACCCAAAACTTCAACAGAGTAACTGTGATAATACTATAGTTCTTAAATGTTTTGACCAGAAACCATAAAACAAAACTATTCCACCACCACTACTAATATTGAAAGCATAGAGTAATCTTGTTATTGGTAAAGACAAAAGAACTGAAACAAAATTTCAACACATAAGACAGGACAATTCCACGAGATATACACACAAGTACTCAAAGCATGTTTCCAAAAAAAGAATGATAATGATTGGGAATGGAATTGATAGCAAAAATGCCTAACAAATATTTCTTTTCTTTTCCTTTTTAGCGAAGCAAGCTTCTTTTACTTTCTTTTTCTGGTTTTACGTTTTGATTTGTATCTTTTAATTAATGGAGACAGTTATCTTTCTCTGATCTTGTTTCTCTATGGTCCCCCCAATTTCTTGGGCCTTCTCTAATTTATAGAAAAAAATGGAATTTTTCGACAGAAACTCTACAATAAATACAAACAAAAATACAAAAAGAAAGGCTATTCTAGAGTAACAATTCGTACACCCCTCATAAAAAATATGTCAGAAAGAAAAAATAAAATACACAGTAAATGTAAAGAAAGACTCATTTCATATATTTTTATGATGGTATTGTAGGTAAAATCTGTTTTTTGTTTTTGTTTTTTAATCCCTTGTTAGTAAAGTGATAACGCACATACATGTTGGTTTTGGTTTTGTAACAACCAAACGGCACAGCGTTCATTTGTATAAATTACAAACAGCATTACAATACGTTTCTGCGCTTTTGACCGCCAAAGTTTTCGCAGCCCTCGCTCGCTGGGGAGATCTCTCTTCCTCTTTTTGGCGGGAAAATAAACCAGAAAACCCTCGAGGACAGATATCAGAGTGAGAAATAGACGGAGAAGAAGAGAGTGAGCGAGAGAGAGAGAGAGAGAAAGTAGATTGAGAGTAGAGAGAGAGAAAGATGGCAGATGAAGGTAAAGAGGAATCGGGAATAGATCAGGTGGAGGAGGATTTCGCCGTGTGGAAGAAGAACACACCATTCCTCTACGATCTTATGATCTCTCACCCGCTCGAATGGCCGTCTCTCACCGTCCATTGGGTCCCATCGGCGCCGAACCCTTACGCGGCGGACCCTTACTTCGGCGTCCACAAGCTAATACTCGGGACTCATACTTCCGGCGATGCCCAAGATTTCCTCATGATCGCCGACGTCGTAATCCCAACTCCCGACGCTGAACCTGGGTTAGGCGGCGCAAGTCAGGATCCAATAGTCCCTAAGGTAATTTTGACTCAATTCCTCTTTTTTTTTGTGATCTTCGTAGCTCGTGTTCTATGCGCACAATGTGTTCGATGAATTACCAGCTGAAAGTTTCGGGAAGATTCTCTTAGTTTTTTTTTTAATTTAAATTCTCGATTTGTTGTAGGTTGAGATTAGGCAGAAGATACGTGTTGATGGAGAAGTGAACAGAGCGAGGTGCATGCCTCAAAAGCCGACGCTTGTGGGTGCAAAGACAAGTGGGTGTGAGGTGTTTCTGTTTGATTACGCAAAACTTGCTGCAAAGCCACATACAAGTGATTGTGATCCTGATCTGAGGCTAGTGGGACATGACAAGGAAGGGTATGGATTGTCTTGGAGTCCCTTAAAGGAGGGTTATCTTCTGAGTGGTTCACAGGATCATAAGATCTGTCTTTGGGATGTTTCAGCTACACCGCAAGAGAAAGTTCTTAATGCAATGTTTGTCTATAAGGTAAGCGGAACGATACTGGTGTTTATTTTATCTTTCTCCTGTTTCCAAAAGATCTGATTTTTGTTTTTTCTCTATTGGTATTGGGTCTAGGGACATGAAAGTGTTATCGAAGATGTATCGTGGCACATGAAGAACGAGAACCTTTTTGGGTCTGCTGGTGATGATGGTCGATTGGTGATATGGGACATACGAACAAACCAAATGCAGCACCAAGTGAAAGTTCACGAGAGAGAGGTACAAACCATCTTTTACATCGATGCACATTGTTTGATATCTTAAGCCCGCATGTCCTGTAGTTGTTGATAACGGGAAGTCATTGACCATATGCTAGCTTCAAGTGAATGACCATGCTTTCTTGCGTTTCTCAGGTGAATTATCTGTCTTTCAATCCGTTCAACGATTGGGTTTTGGCCACAGCTTCCTCGGACTCCACTGTTGCCTTGTTTGACCTCCGGAAGCTGAAGACACCACTGCACGTCTTGAGCAGCCATGAGTATGTTCCTTTTTCATTTTCTCACATCCTTTATAGTCTATCTATATATTGTTTTTAATGATCGATTCTGATTACAGGGGAGAGGTTTTCCAAGTGGAGTGGGATCCAAACCATGAAACAGTGCTTGCATCTTCCGGTGAAGACAGAAGGTTGATGGTCTGGGACCTGAACAGGTAACTTCATCTTCTTTCTAGAACTCAATACGCATTTTATTGTGAAGATTGTTCAGTGTGAGTAAAAGGCTTCTACTTTTTTGGGGGGTTTTATAGGGTTGGAGAAGAGCAGGTTGAGATAGAGTTAGATGCAGAAGATGGTCCACCAGAGTTGCTCTTCTCTCACGGAGGCCACAAGGCTAAGATATCAGACTTTGGTTGGAACAAGAACGAGCCTTGGGTCATTGCGAGTGTAGCTGAGGACAACAGTCTTCAGGTGTGGCAGATGGCGGAAAGCATCTATCGAGACGAAGATGACGCTGAGGCCGATGAGGAGTGAGGACATCAAAGAAAATTAAGAAATGATTTGGTCTCTGACTACTATATTATATCCTGCTTGAGCCAATTTCAAGCAGACAAGCTTTGCGTTTGTATCGGAACTAACTTGAACCGTTTCTGTTTTGTTAATGTCTCATGTTTGGAATTTGAAGATTTCCCTTTAGATTCTTCTTGTTGCAACATCGTGTTTTGTAACTAATATGAGACACTACAGATCTCAATTCAGCAATCATCTACGATCTTTGTTCTTTTACGCATAATACTATACCGAAATAAACACTACACTGAGCATAAAAGGCAACACTCGATATCTTCTACAAGAACTTGGAATAGAAGCCAAATGGCAAGAAAACCGGCAAATTCGAATTGAATATTAACAAGTCTTGCTTCTAGCTTCGACAAGCTCAACAAGGAAATGCAATGACACAAAAAGAAAGGAGAGAAACAAAAAAAAAACAAAAATGATAATAGCACAAAGGAACTTGTTGAAACTCTACTACTTATTAAAAATTAACTATCCTTGTGAAAATGGATGATGATGATACATACTTCAAACTGCTTTCGCCGCACGAGTCCCACCTGTTGCAATAGCAAACACCATGAGTTTCCAGAAATGAAAGAAGTACAGTTTGGCTTCATTGTCTAAGGCAAGAACCAGCCAAATATTAGGATAAGTTTATGATATAGATCCTAAGGTATTAAAAAGTCTCACCTTTTCTCTTATTAGCGCCTGATGCATTACCACTGAATGTTCCATGTCCATTACTACAAACAGGGATCTCTTTGCCATCTAAACTCTGATTCCCCAAGCATTGTAGCTGTTCAAACTCACAACCATTAAGCCCTTGCTCATTCATCGACGCACCTTCTCCGTTGTTCCCGTTTTGAAGGCAGTACAAGTTGTCAACATCGCACTGCATGTTGCAAGGGTTTATCATATACGAGAAAGGCGCGTTTGCGTTTGTGACCGCGGGTTTTTGATAAGGGAATGCACCAATCTCTCCTTCTATTCTTCCTCTTATGTCAACCAGCAAACACTTGAGCCTCATAACCTCAGCTTCTAATGCAGCTTGACCTTGCAGCCTCTTCAACAGCTGATTATTCACCGCTCTAAGCCTGATGACTTCATCCTCCAACGAAGCCGCTTTAGCCTTCTTCTTCTCTCTGTACTTTTTAACCGCTTCTCTGTTCCCCAAAGGCCTCTTTTTGCTCTTCTTCTCCGAAGATTCCGATGTATCGTCGGTAGAGGCTTTGTCTTCGCTCTGCGCAGGGAGGATCTTGGTGTGCACATGGAGACACGTGTGCGTGTGCGTGTTCTCTGGTCCCGGAGGGTTACAAGTGTGAGTGTGAGTACACGCGTGAGAATCCTTAAGAAGCTCATCGAAGAATGAATCAATCGAACACTCAGGGATGTTCGAATTTGAAAAAGCTTCCTGATTCGAGAACTCAAGCTCACCGTCTTCCATTAAGTCGTAGCCTTTTAGCTCTTTTGATTGATCTTAACCCACAAAAACTAAGAACACTCTCCTTGATTTCGAGCTTTCCCGATCTTGTAAAAACCCTAATTTCAGAGAGAAAACACCAATTCAGACGATTCAGAAGAAGTCAAACATCCAATTATCAGTATCTAATCACCGGCTGATACAATTCAAGCGATTCAGAATAATTCGAAAATCCAATTATTAATATCTAATCCAGTGGCTGATACTAAATTGGGAGAAATTTCGTACCTTTCGAAGAAAATGGACGAAAAAACTTCACGAGAAGTGCAGGAGAATCGCCATTACAAACCCTAAATTCGGAATTGAGAAACTTGCGAGGCAGAAAGGTGAGAAGGGTTTTTGTAAAGAGAGAGAGAGAGAAAAGAGAGAAGAGAGAAGGGGAGGATTAGAGAAAGGAAACCCAAGAGACGACGAAAGCGAGCTATAACATTGATGATAGAAGCGTATTAACAGATGGCATCATTTCCATGGCGGAAAGACATGAACGTACGATAAAAGGATTTCGAGTTGCAGAGATTCCTTTTTTCTTCCTAATTAAAAATTCGAACGAAATTTCGATTTGATTTTTCGATTTACCTTTTGTTGTAATTAAAATAAGCCGCTAAACTTAATCAAAATTATTTAATGACACGGAAATAAATTTTAAGAAACACAAAAAAACAACGAGGAGTACTTTTTTTTTTAATTGGTTTTTGGTCAACTGAACTTGGGTTATTTTTAAGTTTTAATTTTTCATATATTCATTGAGTTTAACTGGTATATTAAATGAATAACAAAATAGCGAAATAACTAAAAAATTGTTACTGAAATAAACTGAATTGAATCATATTTTAGTTAAGTAATTATAAAATGCTGAAAATTTATTTTTAGTAGATTAACCATGTTTTATTTTTTTAGTTATATATTTAATACTTTAGCGGAATCACGTTTTAAAAACATGAAAAAATGTAAAACGAAAAACGTGAAACGTGATCAATAATATGAATGGTAAAAAATAACAGAATCAAGTTTCTAAAACACGAAAACGTAAAAAAACTACATACCATTCAAACTCAATATCATTTCTACAATGATTTACAATATATTTATGTTTCAAGAAGTTAAATGTTTTCAAATTTTTATCTATATATAGTTATTTATTATTAATTTTTTCATTTACCCTTAAGATATTTATAAGTTAAAAATAAAACTTAAATAATAATAATAAATTAATATGTCTTAAAAATTTAAAACATATATTAATTAGAAACAAAGATAATATTTTTTAGGACAAATTAACTTTTTTATAAAATAGAACGAACAATTTTCAGTAAAGGGGAAGAAGAATAGTGAATTTTCATTTTTACAAATTAACGGGACTAACATAATTAGAGGAAAAACTGCTAATTTTTCTCAAAATTGTTACTCTTAAAAAGAGATAGTAACAAATGAACAAATTTCATTTAACTTACTGAGCTAAAGAAAAATATTCAACTCATTTTTATTCAACTCCTCGTTATTACTTCCATTCAACTCATTCATTTTATTTGTAACTATTTGGACTCATTTTTAACAAAAACAATGGGTTTGACTGGTATGTCAACTTAATAGCAAATAGTGAAAAAGCTGAATATTAAACTAGCGGAATCAATAAGACGGATAAATTGAAAACTGAATAAACTCAAAACGCTTAAAAGCTAGTATCTATTAGATGAATTTTTTTTTAACTAGTTATAAATTGAAAACGTACAGGATGGTTTAAAAAATAGCGTGTCAATTTTTACTTTTTCTCATTCAATACTTAATATTATGAATGATATGTATTTAGTGGAAACACGTTTTCACATTTGAAAATGTGAAAAAACTACATACCCATTCAACCCCAATAAAATTAAAAATTGCCAAACAAAACACAAAATTTGTCGATTAAGAAATAAAATAGTGATTGAAGATTTTTGATATCTTGAACCATTCAATTGAGATATGATACACTCATACCGCTCGTGGTTTAGGCATTTTTCAATCAATCAATTTTCTTAACTTGCGTAATATACAGCTTTTGTAATCTTTAGCATTTAAGAGTTGGATATGATCTCTTTGTATAAAAGGATGTAATCGTTGTCTTTCAATACACACTGAAAATCATTCCAAAATATCTTGCTCTCTGATTTTTTGGGAGGAAGTTCTCTGTTTTTCACTTTCTTAGAGAGAACCTCTTATGTTTTCTACTATTTAGTTGAAGAAGTTTTTGCCGGTTTCCATTGTTTCTTTTTTATAACCATTATGTATTCCAAACATTCCACTCATGCGTGAAGCTGATGCAACGATCTTACCTCCAATGTCACCTAACCTTCCTGTCTTTGGGGTTTGCTTTATATCATCTTTTGGTTCTCACTTATTCTTATACTAATCTCTATTTTTTCACCAAATTTTGCTTTAAAATTTTTCCTTGCCGAAGTGTTTATCATCTGTTTTTTTCGATTTTAATTTATCAGTTTTTTATAATTTGGAATTTTTTAACCAAAAGAAACTAAAAAGTAATGGTACACCATCTAAAGAAGGAAACTTATACTTTTATAAGATGATGTACCATTATTCTTAAATTTATTTTTTGACTTTGCTTCATCGGATTTTCCTTCTTCTAAATGGCGAATTATTACTCTTGAGTTTTTTTCTCGTTAAGCAGTTCTAAATATGAAAATAAACAGATGATAATTTTTTTAACAAAGAGTAATTGTAAAACTAAATTTGGTGAGAAAATCATAGGGTAGTGAATGAGTAAGTGAAAATTCGACTAATAAGATGAAGCAAACTCCAGAGACGAGACGGTTGAGTGATATTGGAAGTAATATTGTTGATCAGAAGTGCGAACTTCTTACATCCTTTCAATTGTGATTTTGAAAGCGCCATGATGACAAACTCGGAGAGCTTTCAATTGTGATTTTGATTTACAAGAAAAAAAAAAAAAACAGATCTTCGACAAAACTTTTGAACAGCTCCTAAAAAAAACAAAAAAAAAAACACAACACTGCAGAATTTCAATCGTTAATTTAAGACCATCAGATTTTACATCAGAATATATTATTCAATGTATTCCATAAAAAGCCAGATAAATCGATTATCACAATCACCATCCACTATATTTTCCTCCTTTTTTTTTTCTTTTTGAAATTTATCTTAACATGGGTGATGTGAAGTAGTGATAGTGAAAGAAGTAGCTTTTTCAAATTAGCCATCATGGATTGGATTCGAGGTTCTTGATATATGTGTTTTCTGGTTAATGGAAGATTATCTTATTCGACAGTTTTCTATTTATTCTTATATGCTCTGTGCTTTCTATTCTTACTTAAGTTTTAAAGTTGCGCAATAACTTGTTCTTTAACATCCTTTCTATGATCAGAATTGACTACACCTATAACTTATCTAGAATTTTATCAAAAGATTAGTTTAAACCTGTGGCAAATGATGCTAAATTAGATGTTTGATTATACTAAATTAGATTTATGATTATAAACATGTTTTTGGGTCTGCTGATGATGTTTTAATTCTTTCTTTTTTTCGTCATGCGGTGGGGATAATAGATTTGCAAAAAACATATTATAAGTTTTGTATATGTGTTTATAATTTATGACCAAACTTTTTGTTTTCTCTCTATCATTTTCTTTTTCAATGTCTCAAAACGTTTTCCGATTATAAAACTAAAATCCTTATAGAAACAGAGCGAACTCACGTAAATCAATTAATTAGTGTTGAATCAATAATTTATACAAATAGTTTTAACTTTTAAATGATAATAGCAATAATAATTCATGAAAATACCATTTTCAAATTAGTAATAAGTAATTAGTTTTAGACTTTTAGTCACACAAAAAGCTGTAATCATTATTTTCTAGTCTTAATTCTCCTCTCATCTATACAGAAAAAGAAAAATCTTTCCGACAATGGTTGCAAAAGCCAAGTCAGTAGTCATATTTAGCGTGATTTGATTGCATACACCATGAAAGATGACGTAATCCTCAAGCAAACACGAGTCACTAAGCAGAAGCCCTAATTAAGACTGGAGCTCCTGAGAGGAAGGAGACGAAGAAAAGAGGCTATTGTTACTTCTCTCCAAGCTTCCGACTGAAACAGAGTCATTATCCTCCACGTCGAGCATAGCCAGGCTCAAGTGTAACTCTGTGTTCGAATTTGGGTAAACCTCGTCATCAAAACAATCTTCATCGTCTTCTACTTTCTTCACCCATTTCTCTACTTCATCTTCTCCTCTTAGCAGCTTAAGTATCTGAAAAATGTAAATGTTAATTCACGGATAAAACAGAGGAACCAACACTTGAATGTCTGCGAAATTAGTGTAGTTAACCTCTCTGATATTGGGACGATGAGTGGCTGCTCTCGTGAGACAGTAACTAGCAGCAAGAACCATCTTCTGAAACTGAGCCTCATCGAAAGTTCCTGAAATATTCGGATCCAAGAGCTCTTTTGGATCGCCTTTCTCGATCAGGGGTTTAGCCTGCAACCCAAGTAACCTCTGTTTTAGTTTCCCAATGAGGATTGCCTACGCTACAAGTAACTAAAATCGACACTTACCCACATGACCAAACTCTCTTGTCCTCTTGGGCTATCAGATGAAATAGAAGTCCTTCCTGATATGAGTTCAAGCAAAACTACTCCAAAGGCATAAACATCGACTTTATCGCTGACTTTTCCGTACATAAAGTACTCAGGAGCTAGGTATCCAAACGTCCCCACCACGTCTCTTTGTATCGTGTATCGACAAGACTTCGATCCCCACATCGAAAGCCCAAAATCAGAAAGCTATTCTCGCAAGAATGATCGAAGAAAAAGGTTAAATCTTTATGATTTTTTGACATAGATTTACAAGTTCCGAGTCAGTAGTTCTCAATACCTGAGGTTCGAACTCATCTGAGAGAAGCACATTCGATGATTTGACATCTCTGTGGATCACAGGATTAGAACATTGGTTATGTAGATAATCAAGAGCTCCCCCTAACCCAATTGCTATCTTGAATCTCTCTTCCCATCTCAACACATGCTTAGCTACAGAAATTTGATTCATCATACTTTAGGAACTTTTTTCATGATAGTTAAAAGAGTAGAGAAGTATTGCGCTAACCCTGAAGGGTTTCCTCCAAACTTCCTCTGGATGAGAGATTGTAAACGGAGATTAGGTCGTTGTGCTGAACACAGACACCTATCAGAGGAGATATGTTATGGTGACACAAAGAAGAGATTATGCTCACTTCTTGAACAAAATCCTTCACTGCTTCTTTTAAAGACGATTTCAAGATCTTCACCGCCACGGCTTTCCCATCTTCAAGAACCCCTTTGTAGACTTCATTACATCCTCCTTTTCCGATTAGATTCTCTGTAATCGAAAAAACCAAGAATCCAATGAACATAAAGTAGCTGAGAACACAACAAACAAAAAAAAAAACCGAGTTGTTAGTTAGTAGTACATCAAGTACCTGAAGAGAAATCTGATGTTGCTGTCTTAAGAACATCATAGCTAAACCATCTGTTTATCTCCTTTAGTATGTCTTTAAGCTGTGAATCGCAAAAGCTCGGTTGTGAAGTCAGATTCGGATGATGAGGAAACCGTTCAGGCAAGCTCATGACCCAATTCACAACAGATATTTTCCGAGTGTGATGTTGAACCATTGGAGTAGTAGCTAAAGTGGTTGTTCTTAGCAATGGCCAACCAGGTTTCTGGTCCACTACCTCTACTGATGGCAGAGAAAGCGACCTACCTGAAACTTTCCTCTTCTCTTGGCTTGTTCTCTCGACCTCTCTGCTTTTAACAGTTGATTCTTCGGATTTCAACTCGTTTTCTTTGTCTGAAAACCCATCATAAGAACTTGGTCTTGAACTTGTCTTTTGACCTGCAAGAATCATCAAACCCATTTTTGGTCAACTGATTTGATCTTAAAGAAAGTTATAAATAGATTAATAGTGTAAAGAGAACCAACGAACCAAGAAGTGGTTGGTAATGGTTGGAACGTCTAAAGACTATATTCCCTCTATGGATGGCCAAAACATCAGTTGTTGGAGGAAGCTCTTTTGCGCAGCCTTTAGCTACTTTCAGACTTATATCATAGAAAAATATCAAATAAATCATTAAGAGAATATAAAAAAAACAAAATTATATAAAAGTTTTCTCATTATAGATTTTCTCACCTTAATTTTCTTTGATGTTTAGCTCCAACAACAATGGACATAACGTTGTATCTCTTTGCCTCTTTAACTAAAACCCCTTGTACTGAATTTCCCTTGACAACTTCTCTTTTGAGCTCAATCTATTCTCAAAAACCAAATATTTTCATTACCCTTTGTTCAAAACCGTGTTTTTACGCAAAATAAACTCGGAGAAGATGTAGAAAATACCTTCTTTGTTGAGCAGAATTCACTAAAATGTTCTAAGTATTGATCCAACGATGGCTTGCTTTTCAAGGCACGATCTGTATCAAATCATACATGCTCCATAAATCAGAAACAATACAAAAAAACTTAGTAAACAGAAATGATTCAATAGAAGAAATAGTTAACAAGGAGGGATCAAAAGAACTCACGAGAAGTTGAGCAAACATGAACAACAACAACAACACAATCTCCATATTCTGCAACATCTTCAAGTGCCCATTTCAAGATCTCTTTGCCACTCTCATCAATTTTAATTCCAACCAATACAATATTTCTGTGCTTCACATTGACATTATCCACTTTTTTGTTTTTCTCCACTGCCATTTTTTGTTTCCTTTGTGCAAAGAACTAGTACAAAAATGCGAATTACAGAGGAATCAATGACTTAATCGATATCAAATAATTAAAACAAAAAAAAAACATTTTGCTGTTATTTAAATACTCAATTTGTATAGAAGTTAAAAGATAGAAAAGTCAGAAACTGATGTTGCAACTACTATCAGATACAAACAAACATAAACTCCAGAGTAGTGAAAGAGAGAGAGACACTTGAAAATTCAAAGGACATTTAAAGATAATAAAATAAGGCAAATTGGATTTAAAGAACATACACGATGAGCATTAACAGACAACATCGTATCACCTAAATCCTCGGTATTTAATATTAAAATTTTTGTCTTTAGGACCAAAAAAAAAAAAATTGATAGTTTTGCTGCCATGTGCCATCAGCATTTGTACCTGCTTCTTCTGCCACGAGAATAAAACCAGATAGACTGACCCAAATAGAATTATAAAATAAGAAGGAAAACAAACTTACATTAAAGGACCTGGATTTTTCTTAGAGGTGAATGCTGCTGATCTTCTTCAAAGGAGGAAAAATAAAAAAGATTGGCTTTGTTGTATTAAATTCTTAAAATAATAAAATGATATGATCACAGAAGAAGGAAGAGGTGAAGAGAGAAGTGATAAGAGAAAGTGTCGGTGAGAAGAGAGAGAGATTGAGTCTGAGAGAAGGCAAGAAAAGGGTCCAGTGAGCAAAAGAAGACAGGGGACCAATTTTGTTTTTTTTTCCAATTTTACTTCCGTTTTTTTTTTTTTTTTAGTTTTTTTTTAATACTTGAAAGGAAAAAAAAAAGGGAAATAAAGATGAATTAATGAGGTTTCATTTTGTGTGTTGTTGTTGGTTTTATATGATCAAATAAATGAGATAGTTAGTTAGAGTAAACCGGCAAATTAAGCGGGAAGGGCATGAAATGAGGAGATTTTAAAAGGGCTAAGTCACAAGTGAATGCGTGTGGCCACCGGCTATTGCGGGTTATGAGCTTAACCAAGACGGCCAAAAAAAGCCTTGAAAGCTGCTGCCTCATTTACTTACGGCACGGAATGGGTTGTATACAAAAATATTTATCCTTTCTTTTTCTATTTTGATGAAGATAAATGTTTTTTTTGCTTTTATGTGAAAGTGTCTGTTTTCGTAAAGGTCAAGTTATTGTTGAAAAAAAAATAAAGGTCAGATTATTTAAGAATATTACTCTTTTTGTTTTAAAATAAGTATCACTTTGACACTTTTCACACAAATTAAAAAAATTATTAAAAATTTTGTTTTACTATTTATTCAGGCACAAAATAACATTTTCTTTTTAATTAAAACAATAAAAGTCAAAAGTTAAAACTAGATATTTATTCAAAATTATGCAATAAAAATATAATGTAACACTTTTTGTGAAATAAAAATAAAACTTTAGAATGACACTTATTTTGAAACAGAAGGAATAGTAATTAACCAAAATATTTTTTTATTAAAATAGACATTTATTTAATTTATGAAAAATATAGGGTTAACTAATGTATATTCCTTAAAACTACATATCATATATAGTGAGAGTCGATAACGTACAGGTTAACAGATTTTCGAAAATAATGTGACATAAGAATCACGTTTTGACCACATATTGTATATGTATATTTATCAGCTAGACAGCTACGACTACGTACCAATGTCTTAAACACTTCTTTAAGAAAAAGATACTTCTTCTCTTTTTTTTTCTAATATTATATAATTCAAATAATTAATCAGATATTCCGCAGCCGAGCAAATATTATTCTTTCCAATCTTAGCCACTGCACAATTCTATGCGTAGACATTACGTCGATTAATTTTTTTATATATATATATACTGAAACATGCATTCGAGTTTTCAATTCATGCATGGTACAATTATTAGGACATTCTTCAATCGTAACATCATTATATAGCTTCAGTGTCGTTGGATGATAAAGTCATTCTGTAATCGATTATATAATATAATTAATCGTTTTAGGTAATTAGAAAATAAACTAACACATATTGTTGCAAATCAAGCTCAATCGAGCTACGGAAACGATTACCAGAACTCACTCTAACTCGTTCTCAATTCAGATTCAACTCACTCTCAAGAATTAAGAACAATCACAATCAATGAATCGAAAATACAAGAACACAGAGATTTGATTACCCAGTTCAACCCAATCAATGTGATTGAGCCTATATCTGGGGCCGAATCAATCCGGCAATCCACTATATCAAAGAAGAGTTTACAAATTGCTCAAGAACAGAGCTTTCCAGAAAATCAACGGAGAAGAGGAACTCGCGTTGACGATACAAGAGGGGGAGCGAAGAAGATACACTTATATATCAAAAGCGTTAAAGTGTCGAAGCCTCTATCGCGACTAGAGTCTTCGGTTATTGCTCCCTTCCCAAACCTGGTTCAATCAACACTCACGAATCAGCTCTTCACAAATCTTGGTCTAACCGACCTGAAATGGAATCAGATACACAGCTCGCAACACATATAATAATTGTTCTATGTTCTAAACCTAAAAAATGATTTGAGAGTTTTTATATGCAAATTAAAGTATACGTGACGTGAAGAAATCAGACAAAATGATCACTGAAAATGAGTGATTCAATGAATGTAAAATTATGTTAGCGGTCCATTTTACCATGTGTCGTCTAAGCAAAAAAAATCGCGATGCTTGTAAATTGTAAATTTAACATATTATGTGATGTGATACTCGTTTCCACCAATTTTCTCCTTAGATCATTAATCAGTTTAACATATGATCACTAGGCATATAGTAAAAAGTAAAAACACATTCATGAATATATACATATATTGTAATTATATACAAAATAACTCAATCGTTTTGTATGGAATTTAAACTAGAAGCGTAATTCGAAACAATAGTTGAATTTTATATTTCTAGCCGTGTTCAAATAATTAAATGTGATACTTTTAGTTATTTTTTCAGATCTATTCCGTTTACAAAGCAACAGTACAAAGTACAATCATTTTTGCCCACTTTTCCGGGTTAATATATGCAATACTATATAGCATGTGACACATAAATATCTTTCATTAATAATTTTTATCTAGCACATTATTGTGTAAGACTATTAATCACAGAAGAATATGATGAATACACTGTCTCGAGGAGGTCTATAACATTAATCGCGTACAAAAATATAGCATATGGTAGGCTTAAGAAAATATAGTTTGTATCTTTTGTGGTGTTAATTTCTTGTACCTATCGATAACATGCGAATATCTGTGGCTAGCTATTACAATGTTAAAGTGATCTGTGGCTATTACATTGTTGATGTGAATTAGTCATATGGGTTGAAGCCACAAATCAATTTATGTTGGACACATCTACTACTTGACCCACTACATAATTTATATGTCAATGGCAGAGATTAGCTTGCTTTTTTACTTTACAATCTTCTAGTTACTAAAAAAAGCTGTAATATATCTTAGCCTATAAAAGGGTTATACTATCTAGTCTAGATTCTGCGTTGAAGTAATTTTTCTTTCTACATATCTATCATTCCAGACCGTATTGGCATACGATCAAGTGATACTGCATTATTATTGCAATATTACTTGAAGATATGCGATCAATTAATACTTAGACACGTAAAAACAAAACAAAACAACCAAAACTGATCAGAAATATTGCAACACATACATGCTCGGGTTAATTATTTATGTTAGGAAAATCACAATCATATATGTACCTATCGAATAATTGGTTGGTTTTAATTGAGAAGGAGTAGTTATTACAAAGAATGAGATTGATCAACCACCAAGATGCAAAGAAATCAAAACCAGTTTGAATTCCAATAAATAAGTACAAAATATCTATGCAAGAATCAAAACCGATATTAAATATAGTAATGACACTAAAATTAATATAACACAAAACAAGGTTAAACGGAGATCGCCAATAATATTCCACTTCTTTGTTTTATTGTTACAAAATAAGAGACCAAACCAAAAGAAGAAGAAGAAAAAGAGAAATTGTAGACATTTTGCAAAGAATGAAGTTGTGAGTTTTATGACGACGCATACTTATGGGTCCAGCTTCCAGCCATGGCTTCGTATTTCTTCTTGTCGGTTCTGTATATATGAGCTATCTCTGGAACCAGAGGATCATCAGGGTTAGGGTCTGTAAGAAGAGAGCACACAGAAAGAAGCACCTGCAACACCAAAAATGTTTTAGTAATTTGTGCTATCTATGTAACCGACCCAAAATTGACTTTGAGTTCTTGAAAATCTTGAAAAAAAAGATGGTTTTATAATGATTTCAATCAAACCTTAGAGATGGTAAGGGCAGGGCTCCATTGCTCTTTGAGAATGTCCAAACATATGCTTCCATTGTTGTTGATGTTTGGGTGAAACACTTTGGTTCTGAATACAACCTGTAATCATTCAACCAAACATAACAAAAAAAGAAGAAAATATCAAAACTTTATCTTGGACCAGATCAGAAACATGATGGGTTTTGTCTTAAGCCTATAAAGTAATAAGCTTTTGTGCTGTTGAAGTGATCTTACCTTAGGAGGTTTAAAAGGATAATCCGTAGGAAAGTGGATATTAAGAAGGAAAACACCGCCTGAGTATGGACTATCGTTTGGACCCATTATCGTAGCTTGCCAATTGAACATATCTTCTCCTATTGGACCTGATCACGTAGAGAGACAAAATATCAAATCTTTGAAAAGAAACAGTAGTGATCTTTACTTTGATGCATGGCTTATATTGTGTCTGTGCATCATCTTTACCTGCACTGCATGATACAGGAGGGTCTCTCTCCAACTCCTTTAGCTCTTTTAATATCCTTTTCGATGACATCTGGTTGCAAGTGTGGTTGAGGGAAAGCAGAAAGCAAATCTATGGATGGTTTGTGCAGTGAACTCAAAAACCAAAAACCTTAATAGTAAAAACTCTCAAAGAGAATAGCTTCTCTTCACCCTCCAAAACTCTCTGTCTTGCTTTGGATACATCTCACAAACGAAAAACTTAATCCTTATTTATAAGAAAAACGTATGAAAGTAAAACATTGGCAAAAGGAAATAAAAAAATAGAAATACTAAATATTTTACAAAAATCAAGAAATAGAAAGAAAAAAATACGTATCGGAATGAGAGGCCTGTTTTTAAAGCGTGAACCATAAGCAGAGATTGTGTTTATTCTCTTGTTTGCACTTAGATTTCCATTTACAGTTGTCATTGCCTAAAGTCTTTTTGAGCCGCCCGCTTTGGTAATGGAGAAAACATCCATTCTTTTGTATTGATTCTGAAAGTGAGACTTGACCATGCTTGATGCAATATACCATATATCTATTGAATAATGATATGTCTTTAGTGTGAGTGTGTGACTTGGTAAAGTTCTTGTTCTCCAAAAAGAATCTGAGAATCAGAATTTTTCAGCATAAAGAATCGTTATTACAATATCGTTATGTTTCTGTCTTCTTGTCTATCGTTATGTTTCTGTCTTCTTGTCTATCGTTATGTTTCTGTCTTCTTGTCTATGTTCATTGAACCAGAAAAAAAATCAAGTTGATGAGCATATAAGTTTTTTTTGAACAAATAACTGAAAGAGCGTGTTTAAAAATACTCTCATGCGAAGGTATTTCTATTTCGCTATACGCTTCAGACCACGATTACCTATATATGGAAGGAACGAAATAATCGAAGACATGGTGAAGCCCCTTCACCAAGTAACCGAATAATCTTACTCATTGACAAAGCAATCTACGATCGCATATCGTCAATTAAAACTCGATACAAGATATGAGGAGGCTCTCTCTCTATGGTTTGAAACTCGTGGCTAATTTGTAAAAAGCTTTTGGTCTATTATTTTCTTATAAACTCAAAGCTGCACTTGATGTAAAACACTTTTGGTCTATGAGGAGGCTCTCTCTCGATGGTTTGAAACTCGTGGCTAATTTGTAAAAAGCTTTTGGTCAAATATTTTCTTATAAACTCGTGCCTATATACATATGACTTACAGTGTTTTGAGCTTCTTCAGATGCCCAATATACTTGAACTGGGTCATTTAAATTGCATTTTCTCAGTATCCTGCATTTGAGGTTGAATTAAAACGTCTTCTAGCAAAAATATAACTGCATAAACAACACACGAATCGTAATTTGTTTATACTCACAGCGTCTTGATAGACTCCAAGTTATTCAATGGAGGGAAGGGATAATCCTCCTGTCAACACGAACCCACCAAAGTAAAAATACTGTGATGATAAACGATCTTGTTTCAAGAGGAAATCAAACTGTAAAGAAGTAGTTTGTCAATGGCTTACAGGTCGGTCAAGCTGGTCAAGGCAGAAATAATGGAAGATATCGGACCATCCAAACCTGAACCATGCATCTGCCTGCAAAAACACTTCTTTGGTTACTTGAGGACATGCAAGTACTTATGGAGATATAATTAAAATTTTACAGTTTCACCAACAAGGACTAAATTTGTTAGTTTGTTGTTAGTCATATCAACCATCCTCTTACATATCAGTCATGTTCTTAGCAATCCAAATTCTTTGTTAGAGATGATTGAGGCTTAGGCAACAAAAAAACCGAGAAAATGATACAGATATTAAAAGTAAGAAGGAAAAACCAAAGATTTAAGATGAAAAGATAGAATATAAACTTACAGCCTCTCCAAATGAACCATCTTTCCAATATCAGGAGAGTTAAGTCCTGAAAACTGATTTCCTTCCAGACTCCTGCATGATTTCAAATGATAGAACACATTCAAATGCATAAATAGCTTAAAACTCTGGAACCATAATGTAGTATATTCTAAACATAACTAGAAAAATTTATGGATTTTTAGGTTAAAGTTTAACAACAACAAACACGTTTCTGTTGTACTAAGCCACCTTTGGGGTAAAAGACAGCGCCTGGAAATCCACCTCAATGCTGTTAACCACTCAATGCTCGTCAGGATTCCAAATGAATTCATCTGTAACAAAGTGATTCAAAAGAAACTGTGGTATATTGGTGAATGTATGTTCCTTGTTGCCAAATGGGATTCCTCAGGAGGTGCCTCTCAAGATCTTGATGCTATCCCAATTTGGGCACACCTAAAAAGAATGCCATTTAACCTAATGCACCGAAAGGGTATTAGTTTAGTGGCTGGTCTAATTGGAGACCCAAAGGAAAGGGATGAATTTACTATGAACTTGGTTAGCCTAACAGAGGCCCATGTTAAAGTGGAAGCTAACCTGAACAATCCCCTTCCTTTTCCTGTTGAAGTCTTTCGGGATGATGGGTCCGTCATTAACATTGATGTGGTGTACCCATGGGTTCCTCCTACGTGCTCCAACTGCAATATGCTCGGACATGTCATAAGGTTCTGTCCCTCGCTCCCCCCACCCTCTGCAACAGCCAGGCCATCAGGACTAAAGAAAAACACAGAGAAAGATAAAGGTAAGGGAAAAGTGAGTGGACCTTTACATACGACTGATGGATCTCCTCCTGGGCCGAATGGCTCCCACGTTGAGTCTCCACCCTCTGCTTTGGCTTCTTCTAGCTCTATCCAGACACCTGTTTCTGAAAAAGAAAGCTCAAAGGTTACTTTTGGACCTCAAACCCGTCCTGTTGATTTCATTCCTTCTCCCCCTATTATAGATTTGCCCACCATTATCGAAACCTCCACTGAGGCTCCTATTCCACTCAACAATTCTAAACCTCTTTCAGGGGCAATAAAAGCTCCTTCTCCACCTATACAAACTACCATATCAAATTTTTTTGCCACTCTGGCTTCCTGCTCCTCTTCCTCCCTCACTCCGGACTCTTTGATCTTAAACAATTCAACTCCCTCACCAGGATCACAGGACATGGTGATTGATTCTCCGCCCCATTTAAAAACCTCTCCTCTGTCGGAAACACCTCTTCCCCTAGAGGTAAAACCTCATCTTTCCTGATGAGTGTACAATTTTTTTTTGGAATGTCCGTGGACTAAATGCTCCGGACAAACATCAGCTTTTTTCTTCTTGGCTTACTACTTTTAAACCCCTTTTTGGCACTATTCTAGAAACTCATATCAAAGAACCAAACTTGAACCACATTATGAATCTTACCTGTCCGGGATGGAATTTTGTCTCCAACCACCAGTCAGACGATGACGGGAGAATTGTTATCATCTTCAAGCAGCCCACAACTATCTCAATCATTCGCCAGTCGAAGCAGTTTCTAACCTGCCATATTACAATCCCAGGAGGTCACTCTTTCTTCTTCACTGCGGTTTATGCTTCGAACCTTCGTGCAGAACGAACTGACCTTTGGTGCGAGCTCATCCACATACAGCATTCGCTCTCTCTTGGTAACTGCCCGTGGGTTGTTTGTGGAGACTTCAATCAGATTACTCATCCGCTTGAACATTCAGATCCTGCAGTGGATCATATTGCATCAGATATGCTGGAAATGAGGGACTGTATGATGCAATTAGATCTCTTTGTTCTGAGATACCAGGGACCCACCTTCACTTGGACTAATAAGCAGCCTGCTGATCCCTGCGCAAAAAAGCTTGACAGACTCCTAGTTAATAATCACTGGTTATCCAACTACCCGGATAGTGCTGCTTCTTTCTTAGCTCCTGATTTCTCAGATCATGCCCCTTGCCTCTTAAATCTCGCTTTTCCCCTTCCTTTGGCAGGGACAAAACCCTTCAAATTCTTCAATCACCTAACCAAACACCCCTCCTTCCTCCCACTGATTGAAAACGCTTGGATCCAAGCCGGAGCTTCTCTGCATCAAGGAACATGTTTGTCATTGTTGTGTGCAAAGCAAAAAACACTAAAAAGAGAGCTCATAATCTTAACCAAGGAATTTTTTTCCGATATTCAGAAACGTGTGAGAGAGACTAGCGATTTACTTCTATCTGTGCAGGTGCAAGCTCTAACTAATCCGTCCTCTTCTCTCTTTCAGCAAGAACGAGATATTCTCACAACTCTAGATAGACTGAGAAGCATTGAGGAGGCTTATTTCAAGCAGAAATCTCGTATTCATTGGTTGAAGGAAGGGGATCAAAATTCAGCTTACTTTTTCAGGATTACACAGCTCCGGAATAGCTTTAATGCAATCAGAACATTCACCACTCCGGCAGGGCTTGTTATCTCTGATCCTCAAGAAATGTGCAACCTTGCTGTTTCTCACTTCCAAGGAATTCTTTCCCCTGCTTCCATGGACCCAGTCACGTGCCCTCCTGCATGGATTCAGTCTTTTATAAGCTATCGCTGTAGTGATGTTATCAAGCAAAATATGGTTTCTTTACCTACGGCCGAGGAAATACAGAGAGTTCTCTTCAAGCTTAACCCAAACAAAGCTCCAGGGCCAGATGGACTAACTTCAGGTTTTTACAAGGCTGCTTGGAGCGTTGTCGGAAAAGAGGTTATTGACAGTATCACGGGTTATTTCCACACAGCTTTCATGCCAACCGCAACTAATGCTACAATCTTGTCGCTCATCCCCAAACACCCAGGTGCCTCTCTTGTTTCAGAGTTTCGTCCCATATCATGTTGCAATACTCTTTACAAAGTCATCTCAAAGCTTCTGATCTCCAGGCTAAAGCATGCCCTCCCTAAATTCATACTTAGGTATCAGACTGCTTTTGTTAAGGGAAGGCTACTAGTGGAAAATACACTTCTTGCTGCTGAGCTTGTCCAAGGATATCACAAACTACAAGGACCAAAGAGAATCACCATTAAAGTGGATATCGCCAAGGCTTTTGACACAGTTAGATGGGAATTTATATTTAGTTGCTTAAGAGGAATAGAGGTACCTGAAACCTTCATCCGTTGGCTACAGGGATGTGTATGTACTCCATCCTTCTCTGTCGGCTATAACGGCAACGTCCATGGTTACTTCAAAGGCAAAAGGGGTCTACGCTAAGGTGACCCTTTATCCCCTTATCTCTTTGTCCTTGCAATGAATTGTCTCTCTGAAATGTTAGACAAAGCCGCATCAAATGGTCAATTCCAATATCACCTCAAGTGTCAAGACTCTAAAACCACTCATCTTTGCTTCGCGGATGATTTGCTCATCTTCCTGGATGGATCTTTGACTTCAGTTCAGAATGTTTTGAAAGTTCTTAATGATTTCGAAGCTATTTCTGGGCTTGCAATTAGTCTTCCAAAAACCAGCTTATTCTCTTCTGGTCTACTTCAACCTTAAATTGACCAAATTCAACAAGCAACGGGAATTACTCATGGATACCTCCCTGTAAGATATCTAGGACTTCCTTTGACTACTAAAAAACTCACCTTGCTAGACTGTGCCCCTCTCCTCCAGCAAGTTAAATCTCGTCTAAATGCTTGGACAACAAAGTCACTCTCGTTTGCTGGAAGACTTCAACTGTTGAACTCGATTATATCTGGTATTACCAACTTCTGGTGCTCATCGTTTATCCTTCCAAAGAAGTGCATTTCAACAATCACTACAAGAAAATATGCGATTTGCGTCGTTAATATTGGTCGCAAGTCCGTCGCAAATTTCATATTTTCCTAAAATATCAAAAAACACTATTAAAATAAATTTAAGTTCATTTAATAATGATTCAAAGTATGTATAATCAAAATAGATGATGTTTTAGTGATACCATATCTTAAACTTGAAAAATGTATATCATATTAAAATCAAGATAGGTTATAATTAATGTTAAAAGATTAAAAGAGTTATAAGAAAAATGCTTATATATAAGTTTGAAAATATATATTTTTAACAATATACAATTGTTTGAAAATATATACTTTTAACAATGTAGAATTGTTTGAAAATTTATAATAACTATAAATTTGAGTGTATGAATAAACACTTCTAACTATATTAAAACAAAATTGAATACATTTATACGTCCTTTTGTTTGTTTTATATAAAATCTAAAACTTAAAACTTTAAACCCTTACAAATAATTTTTTTTGCGACATATTTGCTACGGATCCGTCGCAAATCCCTTGCAAATTTTTGGTTTGCGACGGACTTGCGATGGATCCGTAGCAAATCCGTCGCAAATTAATGTTTGTCAAACATATCGAAAACATTTTTTAAACGAATTTAAATTCATTTGATAATCATTGAAAGTATGTATAATAAAAATATATGATGTTTTAGTGATATCATATCTAAAACTTGAAAAAATTATATGATCATATTAAAATCAAGATAAGATACAGTTAATGTTAAAAGATAAGTAAAAGAGTTAGAAGATAAATGTTTATATACTTTTAACAATGTATAGTTGTTTAAAAATTTATAATAGCCATAAATTTGATTGTATGAATGAACACTTCTAACCATATTAAAACAAAATTGAATACATATATACGCTGTTTTGTTTGTTTTATATAAACCCTAAACCCTAAACCCCAAACCCTAAACTTTAAACCCTAAACCTTTACAAAAAGCATTTGCAGCGGATTTGCTACAGATCCGTCGCAAATCCCTAGCAAAGTTTTGATTTGCGACGGACTTGCGATGGATTCGTCGTAATTCCATCGCAAATTTTAAATTTGTCAATAATATCGAAAACACTTTTAAAACGAATTTAAATTCATTTGATAATGATTAAAAGTATGCATAATCAAAATATATGATGTTTTAGTGATACCATATCTAAAACTTGAAAAATGTATATGTCATATTAAAATCAAGATAGGATATAGTTAATGTTAAAAGAGAAGTAAAAGAGTTAGAAGAAATGTTTATATACTTTTAACAATGTACAATTGTTTAAAAGTTTATAATAACTATAAGTTTGATTGTATATATGAAATACACTTCTAACCATATTAAAAAAAAACTGAATACATATATACGCATTTTTGTTTGTTTTATATAAATTCTTAAACCTTTACAAATATTTTTTTACGACGGATTTGCTACGGATCTGTCGCAAATCCCTAGCAAAATTTTGATTTGCGACGGACTTGCGATGGATCCGTAACAAATCCGTCGCAAAATTTAATTTACCGAATGCATCGAAAACACTTTTTAAAACAAAGTTAATTAGAAATATATATAATCAAAATAGATGATGTTTTAATGATACTATATCTAAAACTTGAAAAAAGTATATCATATTCAATGAATTTAAATTCGTTTTAAAAAGTGTTTTTGGATGTTTTGGATAAATTCAAAATTTGTTTTCATAACCTAATACAGTAATACTCGCAAATCTCTTGCAATGCGGTTGCAAATATGCTGCATCGCAAATTAGTCGCAATTCGCGACGTACTTGCGACATGCTTTTTACCTGCTGTAAATACGTAGCAAAGTCGTCGCAAATTGCGACGACTTTGCGATGAACAATATTTTTGCAAATTTGCGATGGATTTGCGACAAAATAAGAAATATGTAGCAAATCCGTCGCAAATCCATCGCAGATTTGCGAAGAATATTCTCCGTCGCAAAATTCCGACGTAAATCGAGTATTTTCTTGTAGTGAATAAACTCCCTCTCTAGTGCTTTTCTGTGGAAAGGAACCACAGATGGACACCACTCAGCGAAAGTGGCATGGTCAACAGTCATCAAAGATAAGAGAGAAGGGGGATTAGGAGTGAGAGACTTACTAAACTGGAACAAAGCGTGCCTCTTCAAGCTTATTTGGATGATATTCTTCAGGGGAGATTCCATTTGGGTCGCCTGGTTCAGGAAAGAGATATATTCTGACCTTTTAGGCAACTTTTAGACTCAAAAACCAAATCAAAGATTCTCGTGGTTATCAAATAAAATGCTCAAGTCAAGAGAAGAAGTGTACCCTTGGATTAAATTAAAGGTGGGGAATGGAGTCTCTTGTCGCTTCTGGGAAGATAATTGGAGCTCGTTGGGAAGATTATCTAGCTTTCTGGGGATGGAGGGTCCACGCCAGGTGGGAATAACAAGAGATGCGAGGTTGGCAGACTTGTGGCGTCAGGGAGCTTGGAGTTTACCTCCAGCTAGATCGGAGAAACAAGTAACTATCCAACTCCAGCTAACGTTGATACAACTCTCCTCTGAAACCGATGATGTGTATGAATGGTGGATTGATGATGTGATAAAGCAGAAGCACAACACTGGCAGTATCTACGCGGGACTAAGGGAGCGCTTACCGTCGGTTCCTTGGCACGGAATAGTCTGGACCTCTCGAGGTATCCCTAAACATCGCTTTCTAACATGGCTCTTTGTTCTTAATCGATGCCCAACTCGAGATCGTATGAGGAACTGAGGACTTCAAGTAGACCCCCTCTGTCTTCTATGTGCTTCAACAGATGAATCGCGAGACCACCTCCTCTTTCAGTGCCCTTATAGTTGGGAAATCTGGACCTCAATCTGTCATCGTTGCTCCCATACCCCTCACCGTACTTGGTCTGATACTATTGCTGATCTCTGCAACTTTTCGGGAAATAGACATAAAAAACACCTTCTTATGATAGCTTGGCAAGCGACAATTTATACAATCTGGTTGGAGAGAAACAATCGACTTCACAAAAACAACTACAAATCTGCTCCGCTAATAATCAGAAAGATTGATCTTCTAGTGAGGAACAGAGCATCGAGTTTCAGAGACTCCAATCCTTCCTTCTCGTCAAGCTTACTCCAATTATGGTTCAACGGCGATGGTAATCCCTAAATGCTTCTTCAGCTTCGGCTTCGGGCTTAGACAAGATCCCTAAGCCACGATGTCTCTCTCAGAAACGGTTGGGCGACATTCAATTTCACACAACCAACTTTTGGTTAGATTTTAACTATTTGGTTCTGGTTTGGTTCTGGTTTGATTCTGGTTTAGTTATAATTTGTAATATTGGGCTTCCAATACTGGGCCTTCTTAAGGCTCTGTAAACTTTTTATTTCTCATGCTTTAATTTGAAAATCCAGTTACAAAAAAAAAAAAAAAAACAAACACGTTTCTGAGGGTTGTAAAGCAGGTTACGACTTTGGGAAATGGACTAGAGAATCTGTTCCCAATGAAAGATCTGTGTGTATGTACAAAGACAATCATTAATTAAAACATATGATTATATATTTCAATTCATTACAGAGCAAGATAAAATATGAACCATTTATATGGTTAAGTTTTAAGGAAAGTATAAAAATTTAGAATCTGGATATAATGATATATGTGAATTACAATTTTACTCATAGATATATGAATGATCTTTTTAAACAGAACTGCCAGTTTTGGGGTGGAAGAAAAATATTTTCAAAAACTTTATTATAAATAATTTCAGATAAAGTCATAAAGAAAGAAAAAAGAGTGAATTCACATTAGCGAAACTTTTTTTTTTGGGTGATTCTAGGACAACGGGAAAAAGAATTTAAGATGCGACTATGATATAGATTAGGGACAAAACATAACCTTCAAGATCTCTTGCTTTTTGCTCTTTTGCAATATCCAGTTCTCTCTTTGATTTCTTGGAATTGTCATATCGTAAATCTTTCTCGGAAATCTCTATTTATCTCTTTCGTTTCGAGTTCATCAATTATTATCGCAGGTATAAAAATTTATACTTTATGTTGTTATTTTTTTCTTCTGTCAGATTCGAGTAGAAATATGACGAACCGTTTGATGATGTTCTTGTGACGATTGGAAAATTAGGTATCAAAAATTGATTATTATTATTTTTTATGGAAAAAGAATGATTCGAGTTCCGACTAAATCTCTAGGGTTTCACTACAAAATTTTTTATCATTATTACAAATTTTTATGTCATAATATATAAATTTTGCATCTCAAAAATTATATTATGATGGTAATGTCACAAATTATTAAAAACCACATGAAAAACGTCACAAATCCATTTTAGCCACAATAACGTCATAAAATGGTATGGCGATTGATAATTATAACGATTTGTCACCACTTGTGATGGCATTAAAACAATCATAAAAAATACAGTTTATGAAAAAAATACTATTATAATTAGATCACAAGTTGTGATAAAAAAAATGTTATATATTTATCACAAATTCTTTATATATTTGAATTACTGATGCATTATATAAATTATGACAAAAATCATGTTACAATTTTTTTAATAATTAGTGACTAAATTATAATCGCAAAAAATACAACTAATGATTATAATACTATCACAATCCTGTCATATTCAGTGACTACATTATAATCACACAATTATCATAATTTTATTTGTACTGTGACTTTTCATACTAAAATCGATACAAAATATTATATAAATAGAAATATGAGAACCATTAAAATTTAATCACCAATGGTTATCAATTATTTATAGTTAATTGTAGTCACAATTTCTTAAAATTAAATAATTATACAATAAAACAGTAAACGTAAAATATAATAAATAAACGGTAATATTACTTTAAAAAACTACGTCAAAAAAACAAGGTTAATACACAAACAGAATTTTAAAAAGATAGTCTTAATAAAATGAATACTAAACAATACTTAATATAAATAGGAACTAGAATTACTAAATTAGGTAGATGGTGGACGATGGATGGTGTTGATAGTAGAGCTGGATCTAAGCATTCTGATTTGCAAAAGAAACCAACATTTTTTCCATAGCTTCACGTCTTTTTTGAATTTCCAGATTTTCTTCATGACCTTGTTTCAGTTCAGCTTCCAACTCTTGCAGGCGATTTGCAATCATCTCTGCTTCTTCAGATGGTTGTGGTTGATTTGGAGAAGCATCAGCACATGGTAAAACAAATTCCCTTAGAGCTCCAAGTCCAAAGATATAGCCTTGTTAACAAAAGACCAAAACATAAGCAAAGTAATAAGCTGTTGACAATGATATTCAGCAAAACAAAGATGAGAATTGATCTATGTAATGAATATTAAAGGAGCAATCAACACAGATTCAAGAGAAGAATATGGACACTTCATCTGAAATAGATTCAAGAGAGCAATTTCTAAGTTGACCTGAATACTATCTACAGAAATGGAAACCTAGAAATTTCAAGGCAAACTGATCTCAGCACATATAAATTTTCAGATTTGCTAATAAAAGTGTCAATTTAAGAAGCTTCACCTCCATTAAGAAGATGGCCTAGAGGAGGGCAAGCTCCAATTCCAGACTTATCCTTGGGCTCAAGCACATATGGTTAAGAGATTAACATGGAGGAAGACTAATCAATATGAGAAACTGAAGCAACAATGTAACACTATGCAACAATATGGCTCAGAGCACAAATGTCTAGACCAAAATACGGAATCAAACATAAGCCGAAAAATAATCAAGAGATTAAAGACTAACATAGTGAACTATTTTTAGTTTACTATAATAGAAACAGTCGCAAAACCTCTGTAAACCATAGCTCGATTACTGTAATTAAACTATTACTTTGCGATTTTCTTCTAATTAACACGGCGGAATCAAAACTAAGCAAACATAACTTAAGCATAAAATTTAGGAATAGTCGAATGAATTCAGAAAGATTACATGATGATTCGGAGTCGCAGATACTATATGAAGCTGAAACTAACCGGTTCAGGGAAACCTGAACGGAAAATTCCATTATCAACCATAGCGAAGTAAAGAGGTGACCACCTCGCTCTTTCTCGCTATCAATCGCCGTCGGCATGAGTTCTCCGATGGCATATTGGCTACGCAGGAGACACCGGCGTGATATCCACGCGCCACCGAGAACTGTGTGAGCTGAAGCTCCGCCTTGGCGTCTCTTAGCCTCTCCTCCGCCTCAATCACTTAGATTGTCAAGCTGATTCTTAAGCTACAAACCAGGGTCCGATGTTTAAGCAAAAAGAACAATGCATGCTCAGATCTATCGGACATAGTGAGGAGGAAGAAGAAGCGATGGCATATAATGTTAACACGTCAGCATATTATATGTGATTCTCATTTTTTCCATTCCACTTTTTTTTTTTTTTATCTGTGTTTTGAATTTTGTAGAAAATTCAGGACTTTAAAATTTTAATTATATAGTTTTGGTAATTATAACAAAGCTATCGATTATAACAAAGCTATCGATTTTTCCTTCTAGAGTTGGACTCGCGCATATCATTGATCATTCTATAACCGTGTACTTGCTGAGTTTATCATCTAGCAGATGACACATTCTATCTTTTTATTCTATAGTAGATGTGCTTGCTTTAGCTGCATTTCCGGACAGATTCAAATCAGCACCCGTTATTTTTTTACAACATCTAACAAACACAGAGTAAAACTGTAACTCCTTCATCAACATAATATATAGTAAACTGAAACTTTTTGAAAGATGATCATCCAAGCAAACACACAAATCTCAGTAAATTATTATTTTCAATGAAAAAAATAAAATATCCAGAATAAATAAACTTAAATTTCATACAAATGATAATGGGAGACAAAAAAAAAAAATATCAATTATGGAGTTTGTATTATAGGTACAACAACTTCCAACTTAAGTGAAGAATCTGATTTCTATACATTATTGGGAGAGACTTTTGAGTTTTATTATCGTGAATCACTTGATCTTAAAGTCATGGTTTTTCAAATATGATTGGTATGATTCAACCATTAAAAAAGTATAAGGATAAATAAGTCAGGGATTGTCGATATTAATACCAAATGACATTATGAAAAATACATTCTTTTTGTTTCACTTCACAAGCATGTTATGTTTCATATAATCCAGCTGTAAAAGATCAATAGTAGAAAGTAGCGATAATGATACAATCAACGGGGAAAATATTGGTCAATCAAAATTTGGATATCACTATAATGCAATATGAAAATAATTATTTTATTGTTCAAACTGATTTATTGCACGCCGAGACACTAACATATCTACAAGGCCAAACAGAAGATTTTGAAAATAGTGGCAGAGAGAACGAAAAGAAAAAAAAAAAATAGCCGCTTAAAGGCAGGAGAGAGGCTTTTCTCAGTTCTTTCAACTCTCTCACATGCATTGCATTTCATTTCAATTTCTTGGTCTATTTCTATTACCTTTTTCTTCTTTTTGGTCTATATTTTTTCTGTCTTCTCACCGAAATTAAGAACTTTTTTTTGGTTAAAGGCTCAAACCGATTTTAGAATATCAGAAGCCTATTATTATCTTAACATCAAACAAACAATTAAGCACACTATATATACCTAGAAATTGATGCAAAAACTAGTTTATTATACTGAATATATCTACCCAAATCCAAACTCGAGCTTGAGTTCATTAGTATGCCCATCTCTGCATAGAGTATTTCTCAGGATTGAAATTCGAACCTTATTAGCACTCAAGAAGATTTCATCTCAAGTTTTCAATGTGAGATTCTTACATGGTTAGCCAAATTTTCAAGCAATCTATTTTGGATATCCATTTCTCATTCGAATCAACCCTAATGTTGACAAGTGTACATACTATGCTATAGTCTGTAGAATGAAGATTACATCGTACTCAAAATATGTTCATTCCAACAAACGTTTTCACTAAAAAATCTACTGGAAAAGTAGTCAACACCACTTCATCATAAACTAGTTCCAACATTTCTTCCATTTTTTTTTGTATTAATTTCAGTCTAACATTGCTATTTTGGGAGTTATCAAAGAAAGTTTAACCATAATTTATAATTTTATGCAACCTCATCTGGAACCGGAATTAACTTGCATTCAGACCACACATCTATGTATTTTATGTTAAAAGAAGTATACAAAGGCTTTAACAGTATTAGACTTTTTTTGCTCGACATAAATATTAGTCGTTATGATCTCTCATGGAGTGAATCCAAAATTCTATAAGTTTTTGGTAGATTTAAGAAGATCCACATGTACTGTTTATAATAAACTCAATAATCATGGAAAAATCAACGGTGTTGCATGAACCAAGTTATACGTATTTTTTCATCGGCTCACATTTTTTTTCTTTCTTTTTGATGTTGAGAGCCTTTGATTGAGAGAAGTCGTGTGTATACCCGCCAAATTAGGCTCTTCAAACAAAACCCCTTAAAATTAGAAAATTCAACAAAACGAAGAAAACAAAATGAAAGGAGAAAATAAATAAATAAAAAGGAGGGTTATTCAAATTGTTTTTCTTTACAACAAACACGATGGATTCTCAAATTGAGTTTGCGTGAATTTCTCTCAAATCTTATGTTCTCTGCGAAACATTCTCTTACTCCATTGTCTTTTCTCAGAGTCTGATCTTTTTAGCTCTCCTTGTTTTTATTCCTTCGAAAAGGAAAAGATCCCTTTGGGTGGGTTCTTGTTTTAATATTTAAAAAACAAAAAAAAAACTAAAAGAAAAAGAAGAAGTTAGTCAAATCAAATGAGAATACATTCTTGTAATTATCCATGGCTTTTACTAGCCATTCTCGTGATTCTCCTCTCCTTCTCTGGAGCTCTCTCAAGTGACGATGAGGAGAAGACGACCTCGAAGAATACGAAGAAAGAAGTGACTTATGATGGAACGTCTTTGATCATTAATGGAAAAAGAGAACTTCTTTACTCTGGCTCCATACATTACCCTCGAAGCACTCCTGATGTAAATCATTCGTTTAATCCATTTATTTATTTGTTTTTATTTTTTTAATTAATTATCGAGAATGTTTTGTTTAGATGTGGCCAAACATCATCAAAAGAGCGAAACAAGGAGGTTTGAACACGATTCAGACATATGTTTTTTGGAATGTTCATGAGCCTGAACAGGGGAAGGTAATTTTAGACAATTGTAGTGTAAGAAAATCTAATAAAATAAGAAATGTTTCATCATTGTTTTGAGGAATTTTGTTTTCTTTTGTTTGGACAGTTTAATTTTTCGGGTAGAGCCGATTTGGTGAAGTTCATAAAACTGATTGAGAAGAATGGTATGTATGTAACATTAAGGCTTGGACCTTTTATTCAGGCTGAATGGACTCATGGGTATGTTTCTGTGCTATGTTATTTGATTCTCTCCAAAATTACAATGGTCTTAGTATATTGAGTTCTTATGTGTCATGTTTCATGGTTATGGTTATGATGAAACATTAAAACATCAGAGGACTTCCTTACTGGCTGAGAGAAGTTCCAGGAATCTTCTTCCGTACCGACAATGAACCATTCAAGGTATTTTAGTTATACTTATGTTATGTATATGTATGATAAAGTATATGTGTATGAAAATGGAACAATTATGACAAAACTATTGGTTACAGGAACATACAGAGAGATATGTCCGAGTGATACTTGACAAGATGAAGAAGGAGAAGCTTTTTGCTTCACAAGGAGGCCCCATTATATTAGGACAGGTAACATTGACAACAACAACAACAACAAAAAAAAAAAAACACATTTCTTTATGAATTTGAAATTAATTTTTAGTTTTGAAAGATTTGACAATTGAAAATTGGATGCAGATAGAGAATGAGTACAGTGCGGTTCAACGTGCATACAAAGAAGACGGATTAAACTACATTAAGTGGGCAGCTAAATTGGTACATTCTATGAATTTGGGGATCCCATGGGTTATGTGTAAGCAAAATGATGCTCCTGATCCTATGGTAAGTCATCTTTAAAACACATTAATAAAACCATACTCATATATAAAAAAGCTTATAACAAGAACTTTTAATATTCTAAACAGATCAATGCTTGTAACGGAAGGCATTGTGGTGATACATTCCCTGGTCCAAACAAAGACCACAAGCCATCTTTATGGACAGAGAATTGGACTACTCAGTGAGTTTCTTCACTTGAACTCCTTGATTAATATCTTCTAGAAACAAAAGACAATGAGATAAGAGGTTCTTGTAATAATTTGATTGTAGGTTCCGTGTTTTTGGTGATCCTCCAACGCAAAGATCTGCAGAAGATATAGCCTTTTCTGTTGCCCGGTTCTTTTCCAAAAATGGAAGCCATGTTAACTACTACATGGTAAAGAATCTAAAACCGACTAAAAACGGCTTTAATATGTTTAAACAATGTTATCAAATTGTTTGTTTTCTTGTAGTACCATGGAGGTACTAACTTTGGAAGAACCTCTGCACATTATGTAACTACTCGTTACTATGACGATGCACCTCTTGATGAATACGGTAAATCAAAACAAAAATATAGCATATGATCTTTTTGAATTGATCAAAGGTCCAATATATGTTTCTCATTTGCTTTTTTGTGTTATACATAGGATTGGAGAAGGAGCCTAAGTACGGTCATCTAAAACATCTTCACAACGCGCTTAACTTGTGCAAGAAGGCACTTCTCTGGGGCCAACCTAAAACTGAGAAACCTGGCAAAGACACAGAGGTACTTTGCATCTATATACCACCAACAAATCTAAACGTTTCAATCTTTCATCACACAATGCATAGAAATGATACGTTTCTTGAGTTTGATGTATTCTTGTAATTGCAGATAAGATACTATGAGCAGCCTGGAACGAAAGTTTGTGCAGCATTTCTAGCTAACAATAACACAGAATCTGCAGAAAAAATCAAATTCAAGGGAAAGGAGTATGTTATACCATCTCGCTCCATCAGTATTCTCCCTGACTGCAAAACTGTTGTTTACAACACCGGCGAGGTGATGATAAATCGAAAATCTTCTTGTTGCAAATCAAGTTAATTTATTTCTCAAATAAAGAAAATGAATCTTGAATTGCATTTTTTGTTGTTGTTGTTGATATATGGTTCAGATTGTCTCTCATCACACTGCAAGGAACTACATGAAGTCGAAAAAGGCAAATAAGAAGTTTGATTTCAAGGTGTTTACCGAGACAGTTCCTCAAGAGCTTAAAGGTGATAATTATGTCCCCGTTGAGCTTTATGGCTTGACCAAAGACGAGTCTGATTACGGATGGTACACAACAAAGTAAGGATAGAAATGGAATTATTCTTATATGTGAAATTTAAGAAGAAAACATTAAAATAAAACATAAGAAACTCTCTCTTTGCTTATTTTACTATGTAGCTTCAAGATAGATGACAGTGACCTTAAGAAGAAAGGAAAGACTACTTTGAGGATTGCAAGTCTTGGCCACGCGTTGCATGTCTGGCTCAATGGAGAATACCTTGGTAAGATTGAGAACAGTCGATATTTATGATCTCAAATATTTTAACGTTATCAGAAAAATTTACAAGAACTTGACCTAATCAATGAATTTGTTCAGGAAATGGACATGGTAGCCATGAAGAGAAGAGTTTCGTTTTCCAGAAACCAGTTTCTCTAAAAGAAGGAGAAAACCACCTCACCATGCTTGGTGTTTTGACAGGATTTCCAGTATGAAATATATATTTTCTTACCCAAAAAAAACATTAATTATAATAACAAAAATATTCAAGTTTTGATGATGACATCTATGAATGCTTTGTATCAACAGGATAGTGGATCTTACATGGAGCATAGATACACAGGTCCACGTAGTGTTTCCATCTTAGGGTTGAGCTCTGGAACACTTGATCTGACTGAAAAAAGCAAATGGGGAAACAAGGTTTGTCATGAATCTTACATTCTCGATTGTCATGGCGATTCTGACCCGGTTTTCAAAATCTTTAGGTGGGTATGGAAGGAGAAAAGCTTGGTATCCACGCTGAGAAAGGAGTTAAGGAGGTTAAATGGCAGAAATTCTCAGGAAAAGCACCAGGACTTACATGGTACCAGGTAGAAATACTAAACTTTCAGAGAAAAACTGATTATAGTTTAGCAAGTATTATAGGCAACTTGGAGAACAAGGTATCTGATCTAATGAACAATGTTTGATATGTTGCAGACATACTTCGATGCGCCAGAGAGCCAAAGCGCAGCAGCAATTAGGATGAATGGAATGGGGAAAGGGTTGATATGGGTTAATGGAGAAGGTGTTGGTCGATATTGGATGTCGTTTTTATCGCCTTTAGGCAAGCCAACTCAAATCGAGTATCACATCCCTAGATCTTTTTTGAAGCCCAAGAAAAACCTTTTGGTTATATTTGAGGAAGAACCAAATGTGAAGCCAGAGCTTATAGACTTTATCATCGTCAATAGAGACACTTTATGTTCTTACATCGGAGAAGAATACACGCCTAGTGTCCGACACTGGACTAGGAAGAATGACCAAGTCCAGGCCATCAGTGATAACGTGCATCTCACGGCTACTCTTAAATGTTCCGGTACTAAGAAGATCTCAGCGGTGGAATTCGCTAGCTTCGGAAACCCTATTGGAACTTGTGGAAACTTCACCCTTGGATCTTGTAATGCTCCTGCTTCTAAGCAAGTCATCGAGAAGGTAAACAAAGACTTGGCTAGTTATTTGTAACTAGCTACTGTTACTTGTATAGAATAATGTAACAAAAAAATTTCTTCTTCTTTTTCTTGCAGCATTGTTTGGGTAAGGCAGAGTGTGTGATTCCGGTGAACAAGAGTACATTCCAGCAAGACAAAAAGGATTTATGTCCCAAAGTTGTGAAGAAGCTTGCTGTGCAAGTGAAGTGTGGCCGTGACAAGAAGAACTAACGATATATCGTTATTTGCTTCGTTGAACGGTTTTATACTTTATGTTTAGTAGATACGAAATTATGCATCGAATTATTGTTCCATTTTTTGAATTTATTAATTGAAACGTTTATCATACGACTTTTAAAGTCTTCGACAGTAAGATAGTAAGATTGCAGTCAATAAGTTAACCATAAATGATTGTGCCTTATTGCTATTAAGCTGGGTTTAAACAAATCTAATATATATTAAACAGGAAGCATTAGTGATTTTTTTTTGACGACTTTTTTTTTTTTTACGACGGAAGCATTAGTGGTTTATGTGTTATTATTTCAGAATTTTAGATTTTTTTAAATTTTAATAATAGTTAAAAACTTAAATAATTTATTTTTGCAATCAAGCACTATCTTTCTTCCAACCAAACAAAATTTCTCTAATTATTTGTTTTTAATTAAATTTAATATATTAAAAATTTGCAATTAATATTTAGAATTTTCTGTATATAATTTAAAAATTTTGATTTAAATAAATATGATAGAAAATTTAAGTGAATATATTTTTTAAAAAAGTATCTAACATATATTAAACATGAAGTATTAGCTTAAGTGTTATTATCTCTTATTTTTTAATATTTTTATTGATTTATTTTTGTGTGCTATCCTTATTATAAAAACTTTATTTTAATTCACTTAAATTAAATCAAATTTAAATTAAACCAATCACAAATAATTTGATAATTTTATTGGTTTAGTGAATTAAATTAGTTACATATTTTATTAATGGAAATAAATATTATTTCTATTTTTTAGATCTACGAGTATTTATTGTTTTGCAACAGCTTTGATTCAGATATTATACAAACGGAAAAGAATATTATTTTTCGAAACTTCGGACGAAAGTAAATGTAAATCTCGCTTTGTATAATTTTAAACTAAAAATGAAAATAACTAAATTTTCTCAAATCTCGACTGAACATTTTTAGATACCCAAATATTTTTGAAAACTTAATAAATTATAGAATATCTCTTAAATATTTTTACAAACAGTACTCCGCAAATTCATGCGGATAGTAACCTAATTATTCTGATTTTAGTCGCAGGTGAAATACTGAAATTTAACAAGATATTATCATGTAACCACTTAAGTGACGCATGAGAAAATGGATTTTTTACGGGGTTTTAACCTTTGTTTTTAAGCTTTTCATTTTTAGAGTAATTTAGTTCTTTATGAGTCATTTCATATTTTAGGTTGCTTTAAGAGAAAATAAGCTAATCATCTGAAATTTGACATTCATTGAAACACTTACCATTGATAGATCGAATTGAATTTTAGATACAAGATAAATCATAGAATTAATTTTCATTTGCAAAGTGGTTTAAAATTGATCAAACGTAATCCATATATTTTTGTGAAGACAGTTCATTCTGACAAAACAAAAGAAGCATGCACCAAAAAGTTTCAGGAGTCAAAAGGATCGGCCGGTCCACATATAAAAATTGATTGGGCCGGTCCACATATAAAAATTGATTGATCCAGACATATGAGATGCATAGAATCCACACAAGCAAAATAGATCGACTGATGCATACAAGGATCAATCATCCCTTTCCGGATGCAAAAAAAAATCCAAATTTGCTGTTTTGCCCTAAAATCATCATAACTCAATCAAATATGATCCTAGAATTATTTTTGTTTATTTTTAGCCATTATGGAGGCTATGCTTTATTTTCTATAAAGATTTTTGGTTTTGCATTTTGTAAACTTTGAAAAGACGAATTTCTGACTCTATGTTTTTTTTTTTGTCAACGACTTTACATCTTTGAGAAGATTTATGAATTATTTAGAAAATCTATTTTTTGAATTATCAGTTTTTCTTCAACTCCTTGCTTATTTTCTGCCACCATATCGGAGTAGATTTATAGTTAGATTTCTGATCTAAAGAAAATTCAAGTCACTTAATCAGATTTAAATAAAGATCTATCTTATGAGGTCTTCATCTATTGTTAATCTTATTGCTGAAACTTGATTAACTATCTAGTTTTTGATCTTATGTTATTTAACGCACGAGAAGTGTTTATTTAAAAATCTAAAAAACATAGATAAACAAAATATCCTTAGCCAGCGAAATTTGATGTTAAAGCATTTTGTAAGCATATCAAACTTGAACATCAATACATATCTAGAATTTTAAGTTAAAAAAACTGTTTAGAATCTTAAGCTGTAACAACGATATATTGATTATACATCTGTATTTTGAGTTCAAGACTTGTGTTTAATTCCTTCCCTGAATGTGTATCTGGTTACTGGTGTTTGAATTACTATATATAAAATGCATTTGACCTGATGCTTTCTTTTATTGAGTTTTCATCGTATTTCGGCATTTTTATTCATTAGTTACGAAACCATATTTTCGTCTTAGTTACTCTTCAGATTTTTATTGTATGGATTTGGTATATGTGGATTCGATTCCTTCTATGCTTAAACAAATCTGACTTGGACTAAGCACATATTCTAACAAAAGGGGATAAATCAGATAGCTAGGTATGGAATATTGAAGATATAAAAACGATCGAGAAGATATACAAGGAGAATATATCAGTCCTCATATCAACAATGATCTTCTTATAACATATTGTTATTAGAAAAGACTACCAATTACACACAAATTATTATTTCATTTGTTAAAATCCATTGTCAGAAACTTTGAATCGATTCAGTATCTGAACTTCAAACAGATAATTTTGTACAATGGTTTTTGTGAGTCAATTTCCTATATTTCAAATTGTCAATGAACTATTCCACTTTCCATATTGAATGATGAACTGTCAAACTAAATAATTAGTGGAATTTTTTTAAAAAAAATTATATAAAAAAAACTCATTATGGAAACGGTCGATAAGATATTCAGGAGAAAATATATCATTTGTAATATCAACACATGTCATCTTTAAAAGCACCAAATGCACAAAAGAAGAAGTAAAAACAAACAGTGCTCTTCTTTAAACATGAGTCTTGCATCAGGCTACAATGGTTGGAACTTCTAGTTCATCCTAACATTGTTCTCATTGCTTACAATTTCTTTGATGGTGTCGTCAAGGCCGAGGAAGAGATCATACATGACATCAACGTCCTCATGACCAAAATAGATTTCCTTAGCTTGTTGTCTTCTGTTGATCATGGAAGTAACTCTATAGGTACTTAATAGACGTTGTTCTCACAGAGATGGCGTTGAGAAAAACATATGTGAAGGACCTAGATTTGCTTCCATGATTAAGAAAGACAATAAAGAAAAGGTTAGAGGTCAAGGTTACCATAAAAAATAACGTGATTATTAGAAAACAAAGAAAAAGTAGGTGTTTAGTAATGACATGAAATGCACTAGAAAGCAATAACGTGATTATTAGAAAAACAAAGAAAAAAAATAAAAATCTAATTTCCAATCAGCTTAAACAAAAGCTCACCTTTGTAAAATCCCATCCCAAATTGTGTTGGTATGTGCACTCACATTTGTAAAATCCCATCCCAAATCTTCATCAAAAACTCACTTGGAATGCCTATCTACATGATGCCAGGTACTATGCAGAAGCCCAGACGCTTTAATTTATAATTGCAATCACTAACAACAAGAAGATTTGGTCATATAAATAAAACAGTTGAAATTAAACTTAGTGATATGGTGAAAATAGTAGTCTGCACTTCTCAACTTGTGGAAGCCTAATATTATCTCTAAGGGTCCCATTGATTCACCACTAAGGACGCAATTAACTACAAGTAGACCCATGAAGTCTCCAAGCTGTATGATGATGAGTGATTATTCTTTCTAAGAAGTCAATGAGTTGACTTAAGACACAAGCAATCATTCTTTCCTTTTGTTTTCAATGTGATAACACCATTTAACATTTTCCTTGAGTTTTTTTTTTTGCAGATTTTGATGATCTTAGCTGTAAGACGATGTTTGGACAGGACCCTCCAGAGATCAAAGATGATCCTGTAATGAAACAACCATGCTTTCAGTTCTGTAAGTACGAAAGCCTTTCTGCCAAGAAGATTAACTTCTTAAGAAAGAAATTGGGTATCTTCATCAATCACAATTCCCTCTTTGTGCAGGCAAATGAAACAGAAGCTATGGTGTGAAGCACTAGAGCTTTTACAATGGATATTAGCTATGATTGTGGTAACAAATCATACGGTATTTAAGTTTTATCTTGTAAAGTTAAGTCAGATATTACAATTACAGAAGCAAACCTCACTTATGCCCCAATGGATTTGACCCCAAAAACAGGAAAAAAAATGTTTGAATTTGCAAAAAGAATAACACCATTGTAAAAACTCTAAGTTCGATTTATAAAAGAACTAGGGTTTGTAGGTTTAAGAGATCGTTTTATTAAGAATAGCCGGAGCTTGATAGAATATACGGATGATAGGTCGTCGGAATAAGAACGCCGACCTAAGCTTTTAGAAGAAAGTAAATCGAGAGCTAAGAATAATTAGATTGCTTAATTTGCCTTAGGTCTCGAGAGATGATTTTTGGATGGATCTGAGAAGTCGAAGACTTCCTATATTTATAACTGATCAGGTCGGTATTCGATGTGTGTTTAGAATAGAAAAGTCTTCTTGCCGACAAGACCTAACTTCCCTTTTTTCCTGGGTTTGATGGATAAATTGAAGATTTCCATTTATTTAACCGATCTGAGCCTTGTGGGCCGACCAGAATTCATATCGAGCTTGTAGAGATGGTATGAATCTCATCTCTAACAGCTATTAGTAGATCTATAAGACCGAAATGATTGGTACACCAAAATAAAAGGCCGGTTCAACTCAACAAGAGCTCCTCCCATGGCGCATAATCAATATTGAGGTGTGTAAGAGTAATTAGGTTGGTTTTGGTTTTGGTTTTGGTTTTGCCTTACATTCATGTGTCCTTGTCTTCCTTCTCTTGAGTATTGGTCCCACATCATCTGTTCTTCCATCAACATTCTCTGTTTCTTCTCCATATCATTCATCTGCACATACGGTGGTGGCGCAACCACCAACGACGCTGCAAATGGATCCACCGGAACCAGGCCGTTGCCGTTTCCGCTGTTTCCATTAGCCGTTGCTGGTGCCGGAAGTGCCAGCATAGTTGCTGTAACAGAAAATTCATTAGAATGCAAACGAAAACAGAGCAAAGTTGTAAGAAACCAGAAACAGAGCAAAACGAAAGACACCAAATTTATAAGAAACTAAAAACAGAGCAAAATCATGTTTCTTTTAAAACCTGCTGGTCTTCCTGCAGAGCCAAACGCCATGCTGCTCGTGCTCTCGCTGGTTCCATAAGCCGTGGAGGTTTGCACAGCGTTGTTCACAGCGCCGTGCTGATACATTCCGTTAAGCAACAACATATCAAAGCCTCCTCCGAGTTCCGTCTTTTGTACATTCCAGAGCGGATTTGTCTCTTATAAACTCATCCATGAGATCAAGCTTCTTCTGTGTGATCTTCTCTATCTCTGGATACTCAGAAGACCGTGCGATCCCCATGTTCTTACACCAGGAATAGAACTGATCGAGCTCTTCAAACTGTTTCCAGACACGATAGAAAATGTCGTAGACCTTGATCGAATCAGGAATGTCTAACTCCATAAAACGGTCGATCAAAATCCCCATTACTCTCCTTCACTATCGGATACATAGCCACGATCACAACTCTGTTGTTCCTCGCGCCACCTGTTTAAGAAAAAAAGTTACCTTATAATTTTTTTATCATACATAAATTATCATCCAAGAAACAACAAAACAGAGAGATGAAAAGTTAGATTACGCGTGGGACGACAAGCCAAGAAACGGTCAAGAAGTTGCTGCAAATGTTTTGAACTCTGGTGAAGATATGCTCTGTTTTCATCTCGGCGATGGGTTGTGACTTGACCACTATAGCCGTGGAGAGATCAGCGGCGGGCTTATCTTTCTCATCTTCCTCTGTTTCTCCTCCAACGCAGTATACTCCGCGTTTCCCGTGTCTCGCTTGCATCCTGAAAAATTCGAAATGAATATCTTCACCAGAGAAAAAAAGCTCGAGAATTGAAACCGAGAACTCTTACCTGAAGTCAAGCCTTTCGTCAAGGTACAAAGCGTAAGTCCTTACAAAAGCAGAGTAATCCCAAGAGTTGGACCTCGAAACATCCCTAAAATCAGACATATTGAGAAGCCTGGTGCCACGGCGAGTGGCGAAGAAGATCTCTTGCTCATAGGCTTGATCTCCTTCTCCTAAGAGCCGTTGGATCAAAATCAAGGTCTTGAGAGCAACGGTTCAGCATTTGGTTTTGTTAAGACGTCTTGAAAGCGTTGAGGTAACTGCGTGAGTAAGAAGTTAGGCTTAAAATTTCATATATTAAAAGAAAACAAAGCAACAAGCATGAAATGCGCTGGAAAGCAATAACGTGATTATTAGAAAACAAAGAAAAAAAAAATCTAGTTTCCAGTCAGCTTAGTACAAAAGCTCCTGTCTTTCGTTCCAGAAATTTGATTTTCTCCGCGTCACTTGGTAATGACATGAAAATCTGACGGCCACTCTCATCAGATGCAAGATAATCAATTGCAGCCCAATATAGCTCGTTACCATGGTCTAAACTAGTTATTTTGAGCAGCTCCTGCATACATACAGCACAACAGAATGGATTCAATGACTCAAATGTTTCTCGGCCACCTTTCCAAAATCTTCCTTGATCTTCAATGGCAGTCGTGAGACGCTCTCACTTATCTGGGTTACCTTGTTTGGAAGATGATCCTACTTTACCCTTTCCACGTGATGCTGATTTCTGAATTGGTATAAATGGTTCAACTTCCTCATCAGATTCTATAACTTGTGAAAGTGGGTTTGGTGGATCACGAAGCAATTGTTTTGGTCCAGCATGAGGTTGCCATCCCTCATTTACCGAAACCGTAACTCGAGCATATAAACGATCAAGTAATGGAATATCTCGCACAGGACAACTCTGCAATTTAACATAAACACATCAATTATTACTAGCTAAAAATATAACAACTATAATATAAATGTATATTGGGTATGATTACAATAAGAACTATTAACAAAACAATAAACTTATTTTAGAGGGTGAATAAAAATAGTAACAAGGAACAAGAGTTACGATCATTTGAAAACACTAAACTATAAACATAATCTTGGAAACAAACAAATTTATCACTTTCTCTTTTGTATAAAATACTTTTGCAATTATATTTTTGTGGAAAACTAATTTAAAGCTAAAAAATAAAATTGTAAGAAAAGTTAAAGAAGTTTACAAAAGTTGAAGTATTCAATTGTAGAAGTGATGTACTTTACGATGAAATGATTTAATTTATAAAGATTTATTTAGGTTATTAATAATTTATCAAAAAATATTATATATAAATTATAGATTTTATCGAATAAAATATTTAACAACCGATTTTCTAACAGAAAATCTATTATTTAAAATTTAATACATATCTCTGACCATGACCAAGAAAAAAATATTGTTATGCATATCCAAAAGATAAACCAAGTTAATCGTTTGAAAATAATAATTTTTAATTAGTATTGTTATTCAGAAAAAATTAAGTATCCAAAACTCCTCATTTATTCTCGTTATTACACACCACCATTCAGAGCAGTTATCCTATTTAAAGAACACGTGTGAGATCTACTTTTTTTTTGATTGGCGATAACCCAATATTGGTACACCGTAACAGATGAGATACTGAAATGGAAGAGCACACCTCAAACAAAAGACAATGCCTGTTAAGTTATGCGACTTCAGAGTTTTGCGACGATAAATCGAGTATAACATTAAACCGGATATGTGAATTATGATTTTTATCCATAGATATATGAAAGGTTTTTTTTAAATAGAAACTACAAGTTTTGGGACGGAAAAAAAACATTTTCATTTATTACGATTAATTCGAGATAAAGTCATAGGGAAAGAAAAAAGAAATGAATTCACATTAGCCAAACTTTTTTTTTTGGGCGATTATAGGACATAAAGAAAATACGATTAAGACATAACTACGTTGGAGATTAGGGACAAAATACAATTTTCGAAGCTCTCTAGCTTTTCTCTCTTTTGCCATATCTTCAATCTACTTAGCTCTCTCATTTTTTTTTTGGAATTGTCATATCATAAATCTCCCTCAAAATCTTTATTCCTCCCTTTCACTTCGAATTTATTCATCAATAGTCGATTAAAATTTTCAAAGTAAAAAAAATTTATACTTTATATTTTTATTTTTTTTCTTCTATTCGATTTGAGTAAAAATATAACTAAGGTTTTGATGTTGTTCTTGTGACGATTAAGAAATTGGGTATCGAAGATTTAAATTTCTGAAATTGGTATCAAAAATTGATTATTATTTCGAGTTCGAACTAAATTCCTAAGATTTTTCAAATTAAAAATCTATTGTTTTTTTTATTAGATTTGAGTAGACATAATTCAATTGGGAAATTGGGTTTTTTTTAAATAGGGTAATTTAAGTATCGAAGATTTGTGATCTCTTTTCTGGTATTTGTTTCTCTCACGAGATTTAAGTGATTGATTTTCCTTTTTCTGGAATTTGTTTCGTTGATCATACACCTAAACGGTGTGCCGTTTGGATAGCATAAAAATGACATGCAAGACTAATTTCCTTATTTCCTTATTAGTCTAAGTCAGGTTTGTAGAGTACAGTAAAACTTCTATAAATTAATACTCGATAAATTAATAATTATTATAAATTAATAATTTTTGTCGATCTCAAGTTGGGTCTGTGTAAAAATTGACAAAATTCAATAAGATAATAAGATAATACTTTTTTTGAAAATTCTATGTAAACATATAGTCTCAATAATAATATAAATTAATAATTATTCATTTAGACATATATTAATAATATAATATAGTAAACTATGATAATATTATTATTTCAAATTTATAAAATTTGTTTGATTTATTTTCTAAATTCATTATTATAATATTTTTTTAATAATTTTATATTGTTGAAAATATTAATTTTATTTTTTATGAATATTAAAAATCAAACTAAAAATATTTTTATAAATTAATAAAATATTAATTTATCAATTAATTAATAATTTTATAAATTAATAAAATTTGATACACCCAATATTATTAATTTATAGAGATTTTACTACACTAAACCCAGAATCAAATTCTCCACTCTCTCCCACCCGCTCTCTCTTTCAGACTCCTACTAAAAATGGTGGGACTCGTCGTTGACGCGGAGTACCTCAAGGAGATCGATAAGGCTCGCCGTGAACTCCGTGCTCTTATCTCTCAGAAGAATTGCGCTCCGATCATGCTCCGATTGGCGTAAGTTTCCACTTCTGTAGCTCTATATTGCGATCCCCGTCGAGGTTTTTTTCTGTGATTTTTTGAGGAATCTTGCGCTGTTGTGGAACAATGCTCACTGTATTTGCGATCTCATGTCGTCTTATCTGGTTCGTGAAGGTGGCATGATGCTGGAACCTATGACGCCGAATCGAAGACCGGTGGGCCTAATGGCTCGATTAGGCACGAAGAGGAGTACAGTCATGGTGCCAATAGTGGTTTGAAAGTTGCTATCGATCTCTGTGGTGCGTTTGCCCCTTTTCGTGCTCTGCGGATTTAGGAATTCGAGTTTAGATTCAGTGATTGATTGGATAACATCGTTTTAGGGATTTTGTTTCCTAGCTTGTCTATGCAGTCTTTGTATGCACTGAATTGTTTATAGGTGACGAGGTATTCCACATTTGGAACGTGATGTGATATGGATTTTAAAATCTTTCGAAGTATGCATAATCAGATCGTTCAATTATAGTCCCGAGGATTTATGAGACGTTCACATGTTAAACTTGTTAGTGTGGTCTTACTTGCTCTTTAGTTTTAGGAACCTTTTACCTTGTACTCATGTGGTGTTTCAGTTTGTCTTATGACTTGAGAAGAATGTTTGAAACAATCTTACTTGTTAGTGTGGTCTTACTTGCTATCTCGGGTTTGAAAGCTGCTTTCGATCTCTGGTGCGTCTTTCCTTTTTTGTTCTCTGCGGATTATAGATTTGAGTTGAGATTCAGTGATTGATTGGATATACTTCGTTTTAGGGATTTCGTTTCCTAGCTTGTCCTTGCAGTCTGTTTGCACTGCTCTGTTTATAGGATTCTGACATGTTTCCAAGTATACATAATCGGATTATACACCGACCTATACTCTGTGTTGGCTATGTTTGACCAGGAGTATACAGATTTACTCTTAATCAGATCATTCTATAAGTATTCCCGAGGATTTATGAGAAAAGTTCAAATCTTAAACTTGTTAGTGTGGTATTTTCGTGTTCTTGATTTTGGTAGCCTTTACCTTGCACTCATGTGGTGTTTCATTTTGTCTTGTGACTTCAGAAGAATTTTCGAAACAATCTTACTTCTTCTTTTGAAATTGATGTTGATTGTTTGATATTTCAGAGGACGTGAAAACTAAACATCCCAAAATCACTTACGCAGACCTATACCAGGTAACTAATATGACCTTTTTCTTGAACTTTTATAAGTAATTTGTTCCTAATGGATCAGTATTAAATCTCTTTTGTTCAGTTGTGTTGGCAGTACAATTTCTCACCTTGTTTTTAGTGAGCTTTCTCTCAGATATCCTGTGACTTTTTTTCCGTAAATGTTACTTTGTTAGATATATTCGGTTGAGCTGTGAAATTTTCAGTCTTCAGAGTATAGAAACAGGGGAATTGACAATTGTGCTTTGTGGTTGAAATATTTGGCTTATTTGCACTCTTGAAGTTTTTTTCACAAAGATAAATATTGATGATTCCTATTGTGTTTTCTGTCTTTCATAACTGTAACGTCAAGGCTTGGTAGCTGTGAATTCCCAAACAAGTTTTGGGCCTGAAATGTGAATCATTTTCACTCGAATTGATTCTATCATTTTTCAGCTTGCTGGTGTGGTAGCGGTTGAAGTTACTGGTGGACCTGACATCAGTTTTGTTCCTGGCAGAAAGGTAATATTCTCTCAGCCATTAAGATGAATGGTATTTACAGCTTACCTCCAAAAAAAGCAATCAACTATTGTAGCTGTATGTTTCTCTCTTGTAGGATTCAAATGCCTGCACTGACGAAGGGAGACTTCCTGATGCTAATCAAGGTAGGATATCTCCAAAGTGTTTCACTAAAAATTCAATACTTGAGTGTCAAGTTGTTCCCGAATGTACAATAGAATCTTCTTTTCGAATGTATTCTTTCCTCATTTTATATTGCTCATTTGCTTGCAGGTTTTGAACATCTGAAAGATGTCTTCTACAGGATGGGACTCTCCGATAAAGATGTTGTTGCTTTATCGGGGGCTCATACTCTGGTAAATCCTTTATTGCAAAAATTCATATTCGCCATTTGGTTTTACATAAATAAGTTGTGTATGGATTGTTTTTTTTTTAATTACTATTCTGATGTTTAGGGAAGGGCTCATCCAGAGAGATCAGGTTTTGATGGGCCATGGACTCAAGTTACTCAAGATCCTCTGAAGTTCGATAATTCCTACTTCGTGTAAGATAAGATCCTCTTAAGTCAGTGGACAGTTTGTATTTTGTTAGGGACAACAAATAGTTTGTTCTGACTTCATTATCACTTTTGGTAACAGGAAATTGCTGCAAGATCAAGAATCAGACGAATTGCTGAGACTTTCTACTGATAAGACTTTGCTGGAAATCCCCGAGTTCCGTGATTATGCTGAGCTTTACGCAAAGGTTAAATCACGAGATTCTATCTTTATTTTTTATTCTGATTCAAATTAGCTGCAAATTCATAAAGAGAAGCCAGGACCGTGTTGCAAGTGGCATCTTGGTTTCCTATTGTTAAGCGTCTTATTTCTTTGACAAACTGTGCATAAGTTTATATTTTTTTGTCCCAACAGGATGAAGACGCATTCTTCAGAGACTATGCGGAGTCTCACAAGAAACTCTCTGAGCTCGGGTTCACACCCACGACTCCAATCACCAATGGGACAAAAGACGACAGCACCATCATGCCAGTGGCCATGGGCATATCTCTGAAACTACAACTTCCAACGTACAAGATATCAATGGAACTTAAACTTGCAAAGTTTGGAGTCGCCATCGCTGCTGCTATTGTGGCATGTACCTGCTACTTCTCTGAAATCCGCAGAAGCAAGTAACTGGAATAGAATGAAGTAAAACGCTTTCCCCTTCTCATCTCCTCTTATATATAATAGGTTTTGTTGGAAGCCTTAAGCATGCAAATATCGAATACAATATGAAACTCTAGATTTCTATATTCGGTGAGAAGATGACACATTGACCCAGCAGTTGGTATTTTCTGTTGTTTTGGATCGGTTTTTAGGGAAAATCTGCTATGGTTTTGTATATTTCTTGCAAAAACATGCGTGCCGTTTCATAAACCATATATTAACTCGTGTGCCGTTTACTTAAAACAAAAACGACATGCTGTTTAGCCGGCGAAATGAGGTCCACGAGAGGTTAGCGTATTGCCGAGAACAGAAGATCACTGACACGGAATCTTCTCCTCTGATTTGAAAACAAGTGTCCCTTTTTCATACAAAACATGCGTGCCGTTTTGTAAACCTTATATTAACTCGTGTGCCGTTTAGATAATTAAAAGCGACATGCCGTTTAGCCGGCGAAATGAGGTCCACCAGAGAGGTTAGCATAGTGCCGAGAACAGAAGATTACTGACACCGATCCATCTATTCTTTTAATCGCATTTCCCATTGGGTGGTTTATCTCTTTGGCTCAAACTTCAACGAAAACTAAAAAACAAAATTTCTCTTCCTTCTTAACCAAAACTTCTCACGCTCTCTCCCACACGCTCTCACAGACTCAGACTAACAATGGCGGCACTCGTGGTTGACGCGGAGTACCTTAAGGAGGTCGACAAGGCCCGCCGTGAGCTCCGTGCTCTCATCGCTAAGAAGAGTTGCGCTCCGATCATGCTCCGATTGGCGTAAGTTTCTACTTCAGTCGTTTCTTTTTTGCGCTGATTTCGAATTTTTGTTTACTGCATGTGCGATTTCGGCTCTTTTGCTTCGTTTCACATGTTGTCTCCTCTGGTTTGCGAAAGTTGGCATGACGCTGGAACCTATGACGCCGAATCGAAGACCGGTGGGCCTAATGGATCGATTAGGAACGAAGCGGAGTACAGTCATGGAGCCAATAGTGGTTTGAAAATCGCTCTCGATCTCTGTGGTAAGTTCTGCTTTTCCCTGCTCTACTTATTACGGCTTCGATTTGTGACTTGTGAGGTTCAGTGATTCATTGAGTACTTTGTTTTAGGGATTCTGTTTAGTAGCTTGATGAAATATTTCACATATGGCTTTGAACGTTATATAGTATGGTTTTGAAATCGTTAAGTACATATACATAATCGTTTTATACAAAGACCTAGAGATTATTATGAGTTGGCTATGTTTCACCTGGAATATCCAGATTTATATGTGATGAGGTTGTAGTCGTTCTATTAGTGGTCCTGAGGATTCATGAGAAGTTCGCATGTTGAACTTTTTAGTATATGTCTTATATACTCATCAATTTTAGAAACCTTTCCCTTGTATTCATGTGGTTTATGACGTACGAACAAAATTTCATAACAGTATTACTTTTTTCATTTGAATTTGATGTTGATTCTTTGATGTTTCAGAGGACGTGAAAACTAAACATCCCAAAATCACTTATGCGGACCTATACCAGGTATAACTAAAACGAATTTTCCTTGAAGTTTCGTGATTGCATGAAGGCTCATACTGGATTTGATACTGTTTATTAGATCCCCTTTGTTCAGTTTACAAGTTCCCACTTTGTGTTTTCGTACTCTCTCTTCAGATTGTCCTGCGACTTTTTACAGGCTGTGACCTAGAAACTCATCAACAATGTAGCTATATTTGGTTGATTTGTCCTTAGGTAAATGTGTCCTCAGGGTATAGATATAGGGAGAATTGACAATTATACTTTACGGTTGTAATATTTGGCTTATTTTCAGTTTGAAGAATCTTCACACTCACACACCTGAATAATAATAGCCATTTGGTTCTCTTTGCACTCTCTCTGGCTTTAACAATTGTTCTTTCTAGTAAAGTATATTGATAGTGTCACAATAATGGAGGAAGCTTCACAAAAATCTAAAACTCATTTTTAGGCTGCTCAAACATTTCTATTGGTTGCCTTAAACTATTCCCTCATAAATGCTATTCTATTTAGACCTGGACTTAATAGACCTTACAGTTTCGTTCGAAATTGATTCTGTCATTTCTCAGCTTGCTGGCGTGGTAGCTGTTGAAGTTACTGGTGGACCTGACATCAGTTTTGTTCCTGGCAGAAAAGTAATATTCTCTCAGCGATTAAGATGAACGGTATTCCACAGCTTACCTCCAAAAAAGCAATTAACTACAGTAGCTGTATGTTTCTCTGTTATAGGATTCAGATGCCTGCACCGACGAAGGAAGACTTCCTGATGCTAATCAAGGTAGAATGAAAGTTATTTTTTCCATTAATCACAATCTATCTCCAAAGTATTTACTAAAATGAATGTCTTTTGTATTTGAGTAGCAAATAAACAATGGAAGATGGTCGCTGATAATTTTAGGTGTTGCCCCAATGTATCTTTCCTGGATGAGGGTTTGAAGTAATGTCTGCTTGTTTTGCATGTAGGTTTCAAACATCTGAAAGATGTCTTCTACCGGATGGGACTTTCCGATAAAGATATCGTGGCACTCTCAGGGGCTCATACTCTGGTAAATTCTTTCTTGCAAAATTCACATTTTTTCATTTGGTATACAGAATAAGTTGCGTATGGGGTCTTTTTTTTTTTTTTTTTTTTTTTTTTTTTAATTAGATTCCAGTGTATAGGGAAAGGCTCATCCAGAGAGATCAGGTTTCGATGGACCATGGACTCAAGATCCTCTTAAGTTTGACAACTCATACTTTGTGTAAGATCCTCTTTTAAGTCATGGACAGTTTTTTTTTTTTTGGCAATTACAAATAGAATCTGATAACTGTTGGTACCAGGGAATTGCTGACGGAAGAAGAATCCGAGGGCTTGCTGAAACTTTCGACGGACAAGACTCTGTTGGAAGTTCCAGAGTTCCGTCATTACGTTGAGCTTTATGCAAAGGTATTGTCTTCATTGAGATCCAAAGACCCGATTGAATTAATAATCCAAGATTATGTTGTTGCAAGTGTCATATTGTTTTCTTCTTTTGTTAACCATTTTGTTTTTTAACAAGTAATAAGATTCTAAATTTTGTCCCAAAATAGGACGAAGATGCATTCTTCAGAGACTATGCAGAGTCACACAAGAAACTTTCAGAGCTCGGGTTCACACCGACGACTTCAATCACTAAGGCGATCACAGACAGCACCACGCTAGCACATAGTGCAGTCGGAGTCGCAGTCGCTGCTGCTGTTGTGGCCTTTAGCTACTTTTATGAAATTCGAAGAAAGATGAAGTAACTGAAATAGAAGAAGAAACTAGTCCTCTTCCTATCTCTCTGGTTTTGTAAGCATGCACTTATCGATATGCAAATTTGAACTCTAGATTTCTTATATTTCTGCAACAACTTTTAAATCCAACAGCCAGAATTTTGAGTGGTTTTGGTTTGGTTAAGGGTTGGTTTGGGTCTGGCTAAGATAAACCATCGTAAAACCGAATCTATTAAGGATTGGTAATTTGGTATCATAAGAGCCCAGGTCTTAAACCGGATATATCTTCATTCTTAAAAACTATGTTTTGGTTTGGATTTTTCTTTGGGTTGGTTTTGTTCGGTCTTAAGTTGCGATTTTTTCAGTTTTTTTTTTTATTTGGACCGGTTATTCGGATTCTCTAGGTCCAGTACTGGTACCACTTTGAATTTGGTATAGTTCGGTTTATTACGGGATCGTCTAGTGGTATAGTTTGTTATTTCTGTTAAGTTTGGTTAAGTTTGTGTTACTATTTGTGGTCCAGGGTTACATTACCGATTCGTTGTAGAGTTGCCTCGTACTCTACGTAACGATTGATATTTAATAGTACATTATAGCATTAAGTGATAAGTATAAGATTAGTGAATAAGTATCCACCACACCTCTCACCAAGTGGGACTTACCTGAAACCGAACCCTATCGAGGACTAAACATGGTTGGTATTGTTAGGTACGAAGCTTCTTTAGACTTTTTTTGGTTTTTATGTCCTTATCTGTTTTGTTTTTATTTCGAATTTTTAGGATATTATTTCTATTTTTCTTTGTTTAGAAAATTTTATTTGTTTTGTTTCCTTTATATTTGTGTTTATGTGCACAAGTTAGCATAATGTGTTTTAGTGTTTTGATATTTTAATTTTTGCTAAACACAGAAAAGGAGGAGGTTAATATGGTAATTAGAAAATAGGTAGTTAGAACAACTTTCAGGATGACCGGTGTATGTTGCAATCTGTCTTTGTAAATTGTAAGGTAAGGTCGGCCCATGAGTCATCATGACCTCTCTTTTATTTCCAACCACTCTTTTTCTTACTATTTGTATTTATCATGTACGGATGTTAAATATCGTTTTAGGTAAAATTTTGTTAAAATACAAATCATCCTTTTGTGTATAACAAATTACAATTCCCACACTTACAACTTTGAATACTCGAACAAATTTTTTTTTCTTTAGAAACAGCTAGGTAATCCTTTGTGCATACATATTTTACAAACCTAACAGTTCTTGTAAAATTCAAAAGGCAAAAATCAATCTTTATTGTTTCCATCAAGAGATTTAGATAGTCAAAACCTTTGTCTTAATCAAAAACAATAAGTTAACTAAATTGTATAGACCACTTACTTGGTAAAAGCAAACCTGTGGGAGTAGTATCACAGGACTCATTATGAAAATTCTGAGTATACCATATTAAACATTGTGAAAAATGTATTTACAACATATATATATATATATATATATGATTTAGTTAAAGGAAACTTAACCAAAAAACTACTCTAAACCGTACATACTAATATGGGTTTCCAGAAGAATAATGGATATAACATATCATATATGTTTTTTTTTGTCAAACAACATATCATATATGTAATAAACATTCTTGGGGTTTTCTTTATATATCATACATGTTATGTTTGGGAGATCTCTTGCTCAAATTTTTTCATGAATAAGCTTCACCGATCAACTTTTCTCATTGATCAGGATATAATTAACTCTATTGTTTGGAATTATTTAACACCGCATTTCAAGCAAAAAGTAAGAAAATATGGTTTATTAAAATTGTACCTTCAGTTACGAATTTGAGCTTACATTTTCAGTCTGATAATAGTTTTGTAGTATAATATAAATGCGGACGTGTTAAGTATATCGTATGATAAACTATAGGTTTATCATTTGTTTCAAAGGGACGAGTATATATAATATAGAGGGACTTACTTTAACTTATCAATCAAGTCTTGTCCTAACAAATTTTTCATTAAATAAAGTAAACAATAACTAGACCAAGCAATCTAAATACGCAATGAAAGACTAACTATTAAATTAAATAAACAAAATATATTTACATTTAACAAACTTTTTTAACCATCAATCAATCATTTAAGCAAATGAAAAAGAAGTGTTGGGGTTATAATAATAAAATAACAATGTAGAAATGAAAACGAAGTTGGACTATTCCCCCACAAGGCGTCACGTATGGGCATATATGGCTTTTGTCCCAACAAGATGATAGTGATATATATGAGTTTGGTACACCATTGATATTCTAGAACCTCTCTATTTTTTTCAATATTTATCTGTTTGTATTTCTGTTTTATATAGTTTTGAGGGTGAAAAGCGGTGACACGTGGTTGCACTTATTAAAAACATTATTCGACGGTGTAATTGGGTGTTCACACATTTTGACTACGGCGTGACTTTTACGAAATTTTAATTATCACGACTGGAATATTGGATTTAACTAATTACAAAAAGAAGTCTATATGTATGCATGCCAAATCAAACAAATCAGAAGCTTGCAGTCTATCATGTTGGTTGAGTCATAGATGAAGATCAAGAATTTAAAATTTAGAAGTAGAGGTGGGTACGAATCGGATATCCGGATTTTTCGAATTAGGTAAAAGGAAATATCGGTTCGAATTTTGCCCACCCTTAAAAATTAGGACTATACTCCTTTTCTTTTTTTTCCCATGCATCATTACGTTTATGTTTGAAATTAATTAATCTATTTATCATCTTTGAAAACAAAAATATGCTTCTATAACGTTTTTGGTTTTGATAATTCGTTTTAGTATAAGTAAAAATTTCACTTTTGGCTGATCGGATTTGCCCTTTGTCGTCATAGCCATATTGGTATTTAAATACATACGTTCCAAACTCATCTATAAACCAACTCTAAACCTTAAAACTCCAATCACAAAAGAATCCATATCATTAGGCATGTAGGCTACAAACCAAATCAAAAATAAAAACAAAACCGTTAACAACCAAAAATATGAAATAGGTTAAAATGATTAATCATTGTCGTGCTCCTAGACACAAACTACTAACTACTAAGTTTAGTTTTAGCCAAACTCATCTGCAAGAACTTGAGAGGGACTAATACTAAACTCAATGAAACGATTAATACCTAAGCCAATACACAAGACGTAGTCCTATACGATCACAGTAGATGTTCATACATATAATAATATCATGCACTATAATCATAATCACAACCTATATTAAACGTGCCATACGCCAATACATATCAACTTATGAACCATCACGTTCACAATCACTTCTCGTTTAAAACTTCTTTAACTTAATCTGTAACTAATATCCATCCAGTTCATGACCAATGGCACACACTCACAATGCCACATCTAAATAAAATTCTGTTAATTTCACCCGTTCAAACCTAAAATGTCTTGACAAAGTTTTATTTTTGTTTCGTTCTGTTGCTTTATGTCAGTATCAGTATTACTAGGAGACGGTAAAAAATTGATGGTTTTGTTGAACCGCAAATTTTTTAGCATTTCATGATGAGATTTTGATGGGTTGAATGTATATAATATATATATATATATATTTAAACAATAAATGGTTTGAAAATAATGTGAATGTGGTAGTTATAGTTTGATGTAAAATAAAATATTTAACAAACAAAAAAAAGAGCCCACCAGCCACTCCTTCAAACGTGTCCTACCAACTCTCTTCTAGAAGCAATTAGGCTCACCTTCCACCTCCAACCTTCTCTCTCTCCTCTCTCTTCTCTCTCTCCTCTCTTCATAAAGCCCTCACAACAACTTCAGAAACAGGAGCAGAAGAAAGAAGAAGAAGAAGAAAAAACCATGGGAAGATCTCCTTGCTGCGAGAAAGAGCACATGAACAAAGGTGCTTGGACTAAAGAAGAAGACGAGAGACTCGTCTCTTACATCAAATCTCACGGCGAAGGTTGCTGGAGATCTCTTCCTAGAGCCGCCGGTCTCCTCCGTTGCGGCAAAAGCTGCCGTCTCCGGTGGATTAACTACCTCCGACCTGATCTCAAAAGAGGAAACTTTACCCGCGACGAAGACGAGCTTATCATCAAGCTTCATAGTCTCCTTGGCAACAAGTGAGTCCTTTTTTACAGTTTCTACTATGCTCTGTTTCTCAAGCTTATGCTCTGTTTTATGAAGCTTATGCTCTGTTTTTGTTTTTCATCAGATGGTCTTTAATTGCGGCAAGATTGCCTGGAAGAACAGATAACGAGATCAAGAATTACTGGAACACGCATATAAAGAGGAAGCTTTTGAGCAAAGGGATTGATCCAGCCACTCACAGATCGATCAACGCAGGCAAAACTCCTGATTCGAAGAAAACAGAGGACCGAGTTGTAAAAGATGTTTCTTTTGTGTCTCGGTTTGAGAAAACAGAAAGCTCCGAGGAGCAGAAGCAAAATAATAACCAGAAGCGGGATCGAACTAATGGGTTAGTTTGCAAAGAAGAGAGAGTTGAGTATTACCCAGTTGTTGTTGTTGAAGAAGAAATTTTATGCCCAGATTTGAATCTCGAGCTTAGGATCAGTCCACCGTGGCAAAACCAGAATCATGATGATCAGAGAAGAGAGCGATCTCCCTACACTGCGTCCCGTTTTTACATGGAAAACGGCATGGAGTGTAGTAGCGATACTGCAAAATGCCAAACAGAGGATAGCAGTAGCATTAGCTATTCTTCAATTGATAATAGTAGTAGTGGCAGCGTTGGTTATGACTTCTTGGGTTTGAAGACGAGATTTTTGGATTTTCGGAGCTTGGAAATGAATTAAACAAAAAAATTATATATGTAGGAAAAGATAATTTGTAGGTGTGATAATGTTAGACTCTTAATTTTGCTTTTACTTCATCTTTATTGTCCTTTTTTTTTTTCCCAACCTTTGTATATAAAGTTGAAATTTTCTGATCAGATTTATCATCTCTATAATATTATTTGAGAAGTCGATTTTTGAGATATTCGAAAAAAACAATGTATTTACGAAAAATGTCATTACCTTACTGAGTTAATTGTGTTTGGCTACATATTTATTTAAGGGCAAAACGAGCGAGTTAACTGAGTTAACTCAGTAAACATGACTCGATCATGTCCAAACAAAAATATTCGACCCGTAGACCCGTTAACAAAGACGCGGATCCTCTTCAACTTGATTTAAACCGGTTTTTGTGGTCTGCAATAACTGTTAAACAACCGGTTAGATTAATAGATTTGGATTCAAAACAAGTTAGGATCAATACCTAGATATATGGCAACTGCTATATTTATTTTCGTTCACTCATCTAAACGGTATCTTAAATTACCATTTACAATCTAACATTTAACTCAGATCCTAACTAAATATTCTTAACAAAACAAACCGAACTATATCATAAATTATCAGAATATTCTAATCAATCTATATATTCCTTCCTATGGAAATCTAATCAATCTCATATATGTAACAATATATGTTTTTAACTAATCTGTTTACCTATAGTCATGACAGATTTGAAAGATCTTGCTATAATAACGAAGATCTCTAAATATTGACGACTATATTCTTTCAAAAAAATACTACTAAAACCTAATTGATTACATATAAATAGAAGAACCATTTAGAGAAGTCGCCATACCTTTTTACGCAAATCTTTGAAAATGGCTTCTAAAGTTCCAATAACTTCTGTTCAAAATATTAAGCCCTTCAAATCCAGTTGGAGAATTCAAGTCAAAATCCCGCACATTTGGAAGCAGTTTGCTTTCGCCTCAGGAAAATCTATTGAAATGGTTTTAGTCGACAAAGAAGTAATTTAGTTTACTATAAGAAACTTAACGTCCTTATGATGTTAGCTAAAACATTTTATAATTTTTCACAGGGTACGAGAATTCATTGTTTTATTAAGAAACAACACTTGAAGAGATACGAGAACCATCTATCTGTAGGAAGCTGGAAATTCATTAAAGAGTTCAACGTTAGCAATTCAATTGGACAATACAAGACTACCAAACATTGTTACCGGATTAGTTTTGTCAAAGACACAATTGTGTCTAATTCTGTAACCGTGTCAAACTCTGATTTCTTGGACTTGGTCCGGTTCAGTGATATTCATGAAGGAATACAGAATCAGAGCATTTGGTTTGGTAAAAATATTAATCACAGAATAGTCTGATTTACACTATATATTTCTAACCTAATATGTTCAATTTTATTAGATGTTCTCGGCCAGATAGTGAATGTGGGGCAACTGTCTACGATGCATGTCAATAACAAGGACGCAAAGAAAATTGATTTCGAACTGAGGGATGAGCAGTAAGTATTAGTAATCTGTTTCTTTTAAAGTCAATATATGTTCTGTTAATGTTATGCATCACAAAATCTGAGTTATATTGATGATTTACTTTGAGTTACTGTTATAACCTAAAAATGTATTCAGTGATATGCATGTAAGTTGTACCTTATGGGGAAATTTTGCTGATCAAATCGTCGAAGCCACTTCCAATAATGAGACTGAAAAACTAATTTGTCTCATTAGATTTGGAAATATTAAGGAGTTCAGAGGTACACTTTCTACATTATCCAGTTAGAAGCTTCAATATTTTCAAATCTGGATTACTTACTCCTACTTTGTCTATTACCTTCAGACATAAAAAGTGTTTCCAACGCTTTTGATGCCAGTTTAGTCATTATTAACCCGTCTGGAGCACAAATTGACCAGTTTTTGGATGAGTGAGTCCTATATTTTTGAAACTATTTGAGATAATATACAATTGAATTTGTCTATTAATACTTCCTATGGTTTGATGACATTCATATTTTGATTGCAGCTTACCAGATGATGGCTTGGCTCTTACTCTGTTGGAAACCAAACCTAAAAAGGAAATACTGGCAAAGACGGATGATTACTGGAACCAGTTTCCAATGGTCACTGTTGCTGAACTAAAAGAATTAACCGAGGTATGTATTTGACAATGAATATCAAAGGTACTTCACTATAGTGTTCCTTGAATGTTTCTTTCAATTTTATAGGTTGGCAAAGTAAGGATCATTTGCACAGTTTACGCCATTGACACTGACTGGGGATGGTATTATTTTGGGTGCAAAATCAAAAATCATAAGAAGGTTAAAAAGATCGTCGCAGGAACTAATGGTGTCGTAGTTCTCGGAGGGATGCCTAGGTGGCATTGTAATGAATGTAATAAGACTGTCACCAATGTTGTGCCCAAGTAAGTGACCTAACTTATGATTTGAACACACCATAACTCTATAATAATTGTCACGATTTCATCGTTTTCTTGTGTCAGGTTCAAGCTGCATCTGAAGGTTATGGATACAACAAGTGAGATTACTATATTGTTATTCGATACATCGGCAAGTGAGATGTTAAAATGCCAAGCATCAGAATTGCTCAACGGATCATTCGATGAGGTATCTAAATTATATTATCTAAAATGTCTACTGGATGAATAATTTAGTTGTTTATTTACGTGTGTTCTATATTATTGTCTAATTGCTTAAATTGTAGATCCTGAAGAAATCCCATAAACATTAAAGAACTTAGTCAGAAAAACTTTTCAGTTTGTTCTTGCTGTTGATAAAGAGAATCTCAGTGGTGGTCACAATACTTTCAAGGTTTCCAAGATTTTGAGTGACAATGGTATGGTTGAAGATTTAACTGTTGATGATTCAGATAAGCCAGTGAATATTTCAGAACTGGTTTCTGGTGATGAGGTATACTATTATTATTATTTTAGGATACAAATTTTTACTGGCTTTAATGGGCAGTAAATTAACCTTAGTGTATTGTTTTTTTGCAAACAGAGTATGTTGACTCTTACCAATACAAAGCCAATTGTCGATGATGAAATTCCAAATCAAGTTACCCTACTTCGAAGAGAAAAGTTGAGCCTATAATTGAAGTTCTCGAAGACCAACATTCAGCAAGTAAGAAGCAATGCAAACTTCAGGTCAAAATTGAGAAGTTTGAAAATGAAAGCAAAAGTGGCTAATGTTGAATTATACATTTTTTTGAACCTTTTTTGTTATTTTGTTACTATTTCTTGGAGTATTTCACTGCGTGCACTTTGTCATAAAACACACCACTTCAACATTATCTTAAGTGATTCAAGTATTTTTTTCTCTTGCTTATTCACTATCTTTTAATTGTTTTTTTTTATATAACTATGTTATCTAATTCATATAGTAGTTTTTAATTCTCTACACTGTCCTAAATTGGCGTGTTGTGATTATCAATAACACTAGATGAAATATCTAGGATATACATCACATACCTAATTAGCTTTGTCGTTACGTATATGAATAAGAAAACTTACCGAGAAATGAAATTTGGACAGTGTGTTATTCTTGTATCACATCTTTCCCGATTTTTAACCAGTGCAATTAAATGTACCTGTAAAAAAAAGGAATTTTGTTAAACGAGATTCATTAATAGGTACATATATGGTTATCCAATATTTAGATATTATACGTATAGGCATCAATTGCGTCTTTTCAATTGATGTCTTTTAGGTTGTTGATAATTTTAAATTTGAATTTAAGATGCATCTTTTCGATATGATAAAGTTATGAAACTACCCACTATTTTATCTTTTCGATAGTTTAAGATGAATTTGAATTGATGAATAAATTTTAAATTTTGTTTATCAATATATTGTATAAAAACTACCCACTATTTTATCTACCATTTTATTTGTTAACTAATTTATTATTTATCTTCAGGAGGTACACAATTGGTGGATCAGCGAGGTGTTTCTAGGTTTTTCTTCGATCTTCCTATCCCAGAGGTGTTTGAATTCAAGGATAACATGTAAGTTATATATCAGTGTCTTAAATTAAATTTGACAGATAATATCTATTCATCATATTGATGTATAACTTATGCAATTTGGAAATCATTTTTTCAGCCCAAATCCACCGATTGAGATCGATTAATCTTCAAGCTCAAACCATGGCATCAAGTTGAAGGAGACAAGTTTCTGTTATATTAGTACCCTTTGCGTTTATGTTACTTTTAAGTGTTATATGTTATTTTATCAGACTTTATTATCGTCTTCTTATTATGTTTTAGTACTTTTGAGTTTATATTTTATTTTCACTGGTTTTAGTACTTTTCAGTTTATGTTTTATTTTCAGTATTAGTGTTTGGATTTATTGAACTTTTCCCCAAACCATATTTGTAATATTATATTATTGGTTATTTCGCTAACTTTTTTTAATTGAAGCTCCAAAAATCTGATCGTTGGAACAGACATCATTCTTTTCCATGAAGTTCCAATGTATAGATAAAATATGAAAAAATATACACATTAAAATTATGAAAATTCATAGATATGAGATGAAAAAGAAATTAATCAATATTTATGTTTTTGAGGATTAAAATGCTTTACAAATCCTATGCTTCTATTGTATATGTAAGTATCTAAGTAATGTTTTTGTTAGGATATCGAGTATCTAAATACAATATACTTAAACTTAAATAAACAACTCAATATTAGATGATTGATCTCATTATTATTGTAAATCTACTTTTTAATTGTTCAATCTTTCTTTCCATCAAATAAATCTCAACAAATCCTACATGCATATTACTATATAAAAAAAACAAATCTAATTATATATAACTATTCTTTCTGTTAGGATTTGAAAAACGTATATATCTAACTACCATATATGTTAACTTATATTAACCAGTTAATATTGACTGATTGATCTAATTATTATGATAAATCTTTTTTTTGTGATTACATATGCTATTTATTTACCAATTAACCTTAGAAAAG